GAACTGGAAGCCGAAAACGGCCTAGATGTGTTGCTGCGACGGTTGGATTCGAAATGGAAATATGATGAAAGGGTTGAGCTGGGTTCCATATTTGACACCTTCTTCTTCAAGGTTCAGCGAAAGCCCAACCAATCACTTTTGGACTATGTGACTGATTTTCACCAAGCCCTATGCGATGTTCAGAGACTGAAGGTTGATCTTCCTGAGGAAATCACTGGATGGCTCATGTTGCGCAGAGCAGCCTTGACCAAGGACCAACAACACCTTGTGCAGTCCCAGGTTGGCAAAACGTTGACATTGGGAAACGTGGAGCAAAGCCTTTTTCTGGTTTTTGGTCAAGACTTCAAGCAATCCAATCATCAAAGTCACCGTGGAAAATCATTCCCCAAGGGAAAGGGTCGTTCCAATGTGCACCATGCAGAAGATGATGAACATGAGTTTCAAGACGATTGGAATGAAAACTACATGGATACCTGCTACGAAAATGATGATGATCAATACTATGAATGTGATGAAGAATGGGATGAAACATACTTTGGTTCACAAGTTGACTGGTCTCCCACTGCCTCTGAGTGGAATCCGAGCGAAGCTGCCGTCGAAGACGAGTCGCTCTTCGATGTGGTGGAGTTCGATTCCGTCTACTCTGCATATGCCGATGCCAAGAGCCGACTTGCACAGTTGCGCCAAAGCCGTGGCTTCTACCCGGTTGTGGCACTGGTGGACGGCAAGGGTTCCAGCATGTCTCAAGGTGGGGGTAGTTCAAAGTCTAAAGGCCAAAGTAAGAAGGGATCCAAACAATCACCATATCCACCAAAAGGAAAGGGTATCAAAGCTAGAGGAAAAGCCATAGCGGGGGATCTAGTTTGTTTGAGATGTGGCAAGACTGGCCACAAAGCTGCAAACTGCAAGAGCTCTTCTGCTGCTGCCTCTGGTCCCTCCTCTCCTGCAAAGAAGCGTCCCATCGACCTTGATCCGATGGTGAACATGGTCTTCCAGACCTCTGGCGATGAGTTTCATGAGATTGAGGAGACCTACATGCAAGGCGAATCTGTGGTGCGTGCTGGTGGATGGGTGACAAAGGAGCCCGACATGTGCATTCAAGACCAAGGAGCCTCTTCTTTCCTTGCTGGCAGCGAGTACATCTTGCGATATCTGAAATGGTTGGAAGTACAGGGATACCCCATGAACACCATCTCCTTCAAGAAGTGCAACAAATCTTTTCGTTTTGGCGGCGATGCTGATGGGCATGCCCGCTGGATGGTTGAGTTGCCCGTGCACTTCGCCAACATTTCAGGTCGAATGCAGTGCTTCATCGTGTTCGGAGCCACCCCAATGTTGCTTGGACGCCCAGTTCTTGAACAACTTGGTGCTGTAGTGGATTTTGGAAGTGGCAAGATGCGCATCCTTGGTGGCCGATGGACCGAGATCGAACGTGGCAAGCAAGATGCGATGCTTCTGCGACTTGCTGCAACCTTCAACTCCATCGAGGACTTCGAGAACCCGCAGTTCGACCTCAGAGCCAAGGATGATGACCACGATGATGCATGCTCTTTGCAAGATTTTCTTCAAGATCTACGTGCTGCCGAGCGCTATGAGGAAATGATCTCCGAGGTCCAATTCACCGACGACGCCTCTGAGAATGAGTTCGTTGATGTTGAGACCTATGTGAATGTGGATGAGCAGATTCCTGAGGAGCACTTTCATGCCCATGAGCTGACTGAACGCACTCAATGCTCAATGTCGAAGACCTGGTCATGGATTCAGGGTCAACAGGTTGAAACCTCCAAGAAAGCAGCCCAACTTGCCTATGAAGCTCGATGCCAACCTCACCCACGAAAGAAGCTCATTTGGGAAGTCTACAGTGGCACTGGCCTTTTAGGCGAACAAGCTGAACGCCTTGGTGCCGATGTGATGCGTTTTGGACTCAACAATGGATGGGACTTCTCCAAATTAGCACATCGAAAACGTTTGATGGAACTGGCTTATGAGCTTGAGCCGGATGAGATCTACATGTCTCCCAAGTGCACACTTTGGTCTCCCATGCAGGCCATCAACATGCGTTGTGAAGCTGATTGGGACGAACTTTGGGAGCGTCGTGACTTCGACCATGAGATCCATCTGAAGTTTTGCAAGAAGCTGTACTGGTTTCAGGTGAAACGTGGAGCTCATGCACACATTGAACATCCACACCGCAGTGCTGCCTGGGAAACACCAGCCTTTGCCAAACTTCCAGGTGAACGCACAACCTTTGATCAATGTGAATATGGTTCCACTACCACAGTTGATGATGATGAAGTACCAATCATGAAAACCACCTCCATTCAGACCACAAAACGTGCGATGTGTCGCATCATGTCCAAACTATGCTCAGGCAACCATCAACATGCCCGACTTGAAGGTGGAAGCCGTTGCAAGAAGGCTGAGAATTACCAATGCGAGCTTGCCTGGAATTTAGCTCCTGCCCTTCTTGAAGATGAAGGTTTGTCAGAGCAGGCCTATGCTGTTGATCAAGACGCTGAAGCTCAAGAGCTGACTGGAGTTCTTCGAAAACTTGGCACAAAGCATGGCTCTGAAGCGGTGCGCATTGCCTACCGCCTCCATCGAAACCTTGGGCATCCGAGAAAGGACACTTTGGTCCGCATGCTGCAGGCCAAGAATGCAGACCCAAAGGTCATCGCTGCAGCCGAAGCCCTTGAGTGCCCTTACTGCAACAAGTTTTCTTCTAGGAAACAATCAGCTCCAGCTCATGCTGAGCGTCCCATGGACTTCAATGAGCAGCTTCAGGCCGACACCTTGTGGTTTGATTTGAGCTCAGTTGAGCCTGATGCCCCTTCTGACAAAGTCGCCAAGCGGAAGATTGGCATGTTGGTCATGGTTGATTCTGCAACTCGCTTCATGGCTCTGCGAACCATTCCTGATGAATCAAGCAACTCCCTCATGAAAGCAGTTGAACGTGAATGGATTCGCTACTTTGGCCCTCCGAAGCAGCTGAGCGTTGATGAATGGTCTGGATGGGGCAGTGACGCTATGATGCAATGGTCTGGCGACCACGACATAGAGATGAAGATTTCCCCTGGGCAAAGTCATTCACGAACTTCAATTGTGGAGCGAAGACACCAACTCCTTCGCAAAGCACTCTCCATCTTCATGACAGAAAATGGACTATGTGGCCTTGATGGACTTCACACGGCCTTGAACTGGACTGTGCCCACATTGAATCAATGCACTTTTGTGAATGGATTTACCCCTATGCAACTTGCCCTGGGAAAACAACCAAATATGCCTGGACTCATCTCTGACGAGCGCACTGGTCCAATTCAACTTCAACAAACTGAACAAGATCGACTACGGCGACGACTTGAACTCAAAGCAAGTGCCCAAAATGCATGTGCTGTTGCGGAGATTGACGTCAAACTTCGACGTGCTCTACTCCGACGCTTTTCAGGTGCTGATGAAGATCTACAGCCAGGTGAACGATGTCTTTACTGGCGAGAAGTTGGCAATCGATTCCACACGGTTCAGTGGAAAGGCCCTGCAACGGTCGTTGCTGTCCAACGAGACCCAGACACTGGCACCATTGACACCTATTGGATTGCCCACGGCACTGTGCTCATCCGTGCCGGACGTCAACATGTTCGACGACTTGTTGGCCAAGAAGGTCTTGTCAATGGAGCTCAACGTGCTGAACAAGCCATTGCTGGTCTCCGTCAACGGCGAGTTGTCCGAACTGCCGACTTGCGGCGCATCAACAAGCACACCTTGGAGGAGCTTGAGGGTGAGATCTCTGATGGAATTTTTGATGAGCCCTCGCCAAAGAAAGCCAAGACCAACCATCCCCCTGATCAAGGTGAGCAAGATGCCCCAGCAGCACGACCTGAATCAGTGCGATCATTTTCCTATGAGCCAACTGAACCCATCGATGATTTGCCAAAAGATCCTGCTGAAGATCCACCTCTTCCTGTGGCTGATCCGTCTTCTGGCTTGGACTTGCCAACGGATCCCGGTTTGGACTTACCGGATGAGTCAAGGCGCTTGGATTTGGATTTGCGCGACTCTGAAGAGCCACAACCCTCACAGCAAGCTGAAGCAGCAGCAGCGCCCTCCAGCGGAGAGGCAGGTCCTGGACTTATGCCTGAACCTCTTCCGCAAGATGTTCCAATCCCTGATGGTGATGGCAGTGAAGCTGATCAGCCCACCATTGCAGCTGACAACACCACCACCCAATCTTCAATGCCTGAGGCACCTCCACAACTTCCTGGACTTTCCTTTGCTGAACGCCGACGGCAACATGAACGAAGTGAGACTTCTTGGATGCGATCTCCATTGTGGCCACTGGTGCATGATCACCCTGATCCTCAAAGCCCTGGCAATTCAAAGCGTGCCGAGCACCATGAATCGGTCAACATCGCTGTGGAGCTCTTTCCAAATGGCTGTGAAGGCTCAACCAACCTTCCAGCTGGATGGCACTATGATCCGAAAACCCATGAGATCTACCTTGGTTCCACAGCAGATTTTTGGAGCTTTGAAGATGGATTTTTGGTTAGAAACCATGTTTGGTCAAGAGATTGCACTTTTCATACAACAGATTTTCCCTTGCCTGCCGAGAAGCTCCAGACCACAAATGGCCTGACAATGAGACGCAACAGCCGCATCATCCTGGTGAACGAGGCGCAGCCTGCCCCTGTGGGTGATGAACCATGGTTTGGAAAGACCTTGTACCCACTGACCAAAGATGCTGCAGCTGAGTTTGGCCAAAACTACGTTGGCGACCTGTCCAAGAAGTTTAACAACAAAACCATCCGAAGCCGTGGCCATATCTGGTCTGCCCAAGCTGCGCCCAAGAAGAAGAACGTCAAGGATTCAGCTGACCTGAAGGAAAGCCGAATGAGTCTTGAAGACCGCCTGGCGTTCATCGAGGGCAAGAAAGCTGAGTTGGCCTCCATTTTTGAGAATCAAGTTTGGGAGATTGAGCTCCATCCTGAGAAGGTCGATTGGAACCGCGTGATGAAAGCACGGTTTGTGCTGAAGTGGTCTGCCGACAACAATGGCAACCCACGCGCAAAAGCACGTTTGGTTCTTCAAGGATTTTCTGATCCAGATCTACTACGAGGAGAGCTTGACACATCTTCCCCTACTTTGAGCCGATCCTCACGGCAGATTCTCCTGGCCATTGCAACTTGCAAATCCTGGCTTGTTTTCATTTCTGATGTTGCGACAGCCTTTCTTCAAGGCGATCCGCAGAAACGAATCTTGTGGGCCAGAATCCCCAAAGATGCTTGCCAGCTGATTGGTGTGCCAGCCGGTACACTAATGCGACTTCTCAAACCCATTTACGGGCAAGCCGATGCTCCAAGAAGATGGTTTCAAGTTGCCCGCAGAAGATTGATTGCTGCAGGATACCAACCACATCCACTAGATCAATGCCTTTATTGCCTTTTTCATGGTGATCAATTGGTTTCAATGATCGGCATTCATGTCGATGATCTCATCGGTGCTGGACTTGAATCCGATGAAGTCTACCAGAAGGCAAAACAGGCTCTTCATGAGAGTTTCAACTTCAAACATTGGACTGAAGCAAAAGAAACTGGTCAACTACAGTTTTGCGGTTGTGACCTTGAGGCTGATGGAAAAGGTGGCTGGTGGTTGCGCCAACAGGCGTACGTCCAAAAGATCAAACCTTTGACCTTGAGCGATTCAGATGAGAATCGTGAATTGACTGTCAAAGAACTGACAATGCTCCGTGGACTTCTAGGAGCGCTTCAATGGCCAGCAACCCAGACTTCACCGCACCTCAGTGCAAGCGTGAGTCTTTTGTGTGGCGAAGTGAGCGCCGCAGCAGTTTCCACAGCTACCCAAGCAAACAAGCTGCTTAGATTTGCCAAAGCCAACAGCGACGTTGGACTCCAATTTTCTGACCTTGGCCAGCTACATGAGCTATGCATGATAGCCTTGAGCGATGCAGCCTGGGGCGTTCGGAAGAACCATGAGTCCCAAGGCGGCTACTTTGTTTTGCTGATGAATGTGAAGGCCTTGCAAGGTCAATTGGACCAACCCTATGTTGTTTTGGATTGGCGAAGCTACAAACTCCCCAGAATCAGCCGCAGTAGCCTCAACTCTGAAGCACAAGCATGAGCTGGTGCAATGGATGCTCTTGAGTATCTCCTGATCTTCTGGCATGGATGTGTGACTCCTGGCTTTGAGTTGCGCCGCTTGGACGTCCACGACATCCAAATGCAGTCAGCCTTGGTGGTCGACGCGAAGGCACTCTATGATAGCCTGAAAGCTGAAGTTCCACAGATGCAAGGCGACCGAAGATCCAAGATTGAGGTCATGGTTGTGAAACAGAAAATGGATGAGATGAAAACGAAGCCGAAATGGATTTCATCAGAGACCCAACTGGCAGATGGTGTTACCAAAATTGCAGCACGGCAATTGCTTGCAGACCGCTTACGGTCCCATGTCTTTTCCCTGCACTCCGACCAGAGCTTCCAAGCAGCAAAGAAGAAAACTCTTGCTGAACGACAAGCTTCAGCTAGACGCAATGCGATTGGTCGATTGCAGAAAGGCATTGGTTTTGCAGTGCTGACAAATCAACTTGAGCCAGTTCGAGGTGATGATTTTGCAGAAGATTCTTTTTCATCCTACAACATCATTTTCATCTTCACATTCCTCACCATGTTTGTGGCGACAGTTTTTCTGGCATGGCAGTTTTTAGAAAGAATGACAAGGTCCCCGCCGAGACCTATGGCTATACCTAGGTTTCAAACCTCAAGAATGCTCTGGTCACTGATGAGACCTTTTGCGTTCCTATGGAATCAACAAGCTGCGCTGGAAGATGTATCAACCCAAACCGAAAGTGGACGTGATCAAACTATTCACCTTTTGAACTGCAGAGTTCAGATGCTGCAACAGCAGGTGAACGACAAAGACGAAAGAATCCAAGATCTTGAAAGTTTGGTTCACTACTACGAGCAAGATGTGACATCAACCTCTTTGTTTGTGAGCCGAACTGGAGCACGATACCATTTGCATCGTGATTGTCGAGCGCTTTTACAAGCGAATCAAGCCGGCATACGAGATTTGAAATGCTGCAGCCAATGCATTCAGACGTTGCGTGACAACAGCAACCTGGGTGGACCGTGGTGAACTTTTCTTTCTTCTCCACCGGTGTGAGTTTGGTGCCACCAAACTGATCCATTTACCACTTTGCCAGGTTGGAACCACAACATGCAGCTGCAGAACCACATTGGGCGTTCTCGACGCGGCCTCTTTGGCTTTTACGTGTCTTGCCTCTGGACAACGATTCCAGAGGGCCCTCTTTTGAGCCTAGCATTCGAAGCTACGCATGACAAAACAGATAGCACTCCTGCTTTGCATTTCGTGTTTGCACTTAGAGCGGCATAACACAACAAGATATCTTTCCATATCTTCGCAATACCAAAAAAAGATGTCGTTGACCAGCAACAGCTAGGGGATGTGCGACGAGTGTGTCCTCATCACAGCCATAGTCGCCCTCATTCCACTCGTTGCGGCTATAGCCTGCTCCACATGGCTGTGGGAAAAAAAAATGGAAATCTATCTGCAGGCTTTGTGGACTTGAGTTCTTACCCAAGAACAAACAACCACGAATTCTGTATACTAGGGTGCCCACGGGCCCTGCCTCTGGATGCGTCATAGCCCTCATCGTATGGCGGATAGGCCCAGTTGTGCACAGGCTGAATCAGACCGTTGCAGTAGGTGTCTCCTGGGACAGAGGGAGCACTTTGCGAAGAGCCTTTACAGAACCTCCGGATTGTCTGAAAATAGACCCAAAAAATCCCGTAAGGTTTCATCATTTTCCATTCTAGCAGATACTAGCATTGCAAATTTGGGGTATTCACCCCTTATGGACAAACTCGCTGTGTAGACGAAAGAACTTTGTTTTTCCATACAATAAGAGGTCAAATCAACTGTAGTTAGGGTGCAGATGTGCCGAGATTTTCACCGTGGAATTCCTAAGTTGATGGGTTTCCACGGCTGTCCTTGGTTCTGCTTCATGTCGGGGACGGAAACAAACCTGCAGTTTTGCGTGAAGCCCACCTTGCCTCTCAAACATAACAAAATTGCCAAAGTATATATATATATACATATATATATATAGGTAGTGTCACTAGCCGAGAAAAGAATACCCATGGACTTTCACACATACCCAGCCAGCACACATACTCTGCATTTTTGACATCTTTTGACTAGCTCCTTCTTTATCTTCTTTCTTCCCAACCTTTCCAGTAAACATTCCAAGGAGACATGATGACATGATGTTCCATGATGTTCCAATCCATGTCAAGCAGCTGAAGGCTGCCACTCATTGTGACGTAGGAAACAGCTGCGAGTTGTTCCATTGGTTTCACTGGTTTTTGTACTACATGAGGATATTGTAAGCAGAACTACCTTCTGTATCTCTCCATAACCCCACGTGCCACATTGGCTGCGGGAACGCCGACAGCGGTACACGAGGCTAAGTCGAGGTTTCCGGGAATCACAGAGAAGCAAGCAAGAACTTCAGCAAAACGGTTCACATGGCGACTTACACTAGACTTTACACTCTACGCTTTACACTCCACACCGCGCACTCTACACTTTACACACTCCACTTTACACTTTACACTCTTCCCTCTACACACCATACTTTATACGCTACACGTTACACTCCTCACTCCTTACTGCACACTTTACACTCCACACTCCATACTTTACACTCCACACTCTACACTTCACACTCTACACTTCACACTCTACACTTTACACTCTACACTCTACACTCTACGCTTTACACACTACACTTTACACTCTACACTCCACACTCTACACTTGAAACTTTACACTTGACACTCTACACTCCCACACCTTACACCCTTCACCCTGCGGGCTCCTTTGCTTCCCAACAGCTACCTAAAAGAGCCTCACTCCACATTGCCTGCCCACGCCCCAAAGAGCCCGCCCAAGCCACCCTCCAACCTTCCCCCCATCGTACACCCCGCCCCAGCCATCATGTTCCCATACGTCATTTCCAAGCACTCCACATAAGTACTACATGAGGAAATTGTAAGCAGAACTACCTTCTGTATCTCTCCATAACCCCACGTGCCACATTGGCTGCGGGAACGCCGACAGCGGTACACGAGGCTAAGTCGAGGTTTCCGGGAATCACAGAGAAGCAAGCAAGAACTTCAGCAAAACGGTTCACATGGCGACTTACACTAGACTTTACACTCTACGCTTTACACTCCACACCGCACACTCTACACTTTACACACTCCACTTTACACTCTTCCCTCTACACACCATACTTTATACGTTACACGTTACACTCCTCACTCCTTACTGCACACTTTACACTCCACACTCCATACTTTACACTCCACACTCTACACTTCACACTCTACACTTCACACTCTACACTTTACACTCTACACTCTACACTCTACGCTTTACACACTACACTTTACACTCTACACTTACACTCCACACTCTACACTTGAAACTTTACACTTGACACTCTACACTCCCACACCTTACACCCTTCACCCTGCGGGCTCCTTTGCTTCCCAACAGCTACCTAAAAGAGCCTCACTCCACATTGCCTGCCCACGCCCCAAAGAGCCCGCCCAAGCCACCCTCTTGTCCCTCCAACCTTCCCCCCATCGTACACCCCGCCCCGAAACTCCAATCCGTCCCCTTTGTTTTTTTCCTTCCATTCCCTCTCTTCTTCCATTACTCTTTCCAAGTTTTTCCATTGTTCTGTTATGCTTTGACTCCATTTTTGCATCCTTTTACCCTCCATTCCACTCACCTCCAAATGCACGTCGGAGGACGGACCAGGGGGGAATCGAACCCCGCCGTCACCCAATTGCCACCTGGTACATCAGCCTCAAAATCGACCACGGTGGCCACCCTAATTAGGTGGGGAAGTGCCTCAAAATCGTCCGTTTGGAGACGACCACCCCCCAGACCCCCTATTCTCACTTCGTTCGCAATGAGCAACTTCGCCATGCTTGACAGCTGGCTTTCGTAAAAAATCTGATGAAACCATTCACATACCATTCACATTCCATTCACATGCCATTCACACCAGACCAAAATCATCCTTTGTGAAATGACCTGCATACTTGCTGAAATCTGGATGAGCCAATTGAGCCAAAGCGCTCCAAAGGTAATGGCTTCAATGAGGAAGGTGAGATTCATCACCTCATTCCAACATTTCTGAAGATATAGACCGCTATGTATATATATATATATGTATAATATATATATATACACACACACTTAATTATATCATATCATATATACAGTCATTGTCCACCACCTTGAGCGTAGAAACACACCACCTAATGCATCCTCATGCTTGGCCATGGTCATCCTATGTCATCCTGGAAAGCCAAGTGGGTATTGCTCAAAATTACACCATCATCTTGTTGGTAAAAGCCATGACTTGCTTTTCTGGGCTATATGATGCTCTATGATGCTCTGTGCACAACATGCACAATCTGTTGAGGCAGTGTCAAGTTGCACTCTTCGCAAACCCTCTCTGATACGCCACATCTGCCACTTTTGAGGTCTGAACCACTGGTCTTGTCCACAAGACATTGTATAGCTCTGAGCGGCAGGTGGCCTGCGGACATTCCGCAGGTTCGGAATTTGAAGCCTCACATTCAAATTCCAAGCAAAGCCTATATTCAAAGCCTCTAAAGGCATAACATGGCATAACATGGCATAACAATGTTGGAATGCTCACATGTTTCTATGCAAAGAGTGGATCAAATGTTTCAATGTCCCCGGGGTCCGGTCAGCCTGGCAAGCTGCACTGCGGAATGGTCCTTGAAGATGGAAAATAGGCACGTGCGCTTGGCCTAGGGTCGGATGCCATCGGTTCTCGGATCGTCTCAAGGTCCTATCAACCTCTCCCACGGTCGCGTTGCAGCAACCTTGAGTGGTTCACCTGAGTTGACCTGGGAGACTTCACCGAAGTAAACTGATAAAAGCATAACAAAAAGATACAAAAAGCATGCAACCAGGCTCAACCAGGTGGCCAAAGGCACAGGTCAGCATGACTCGCCAGTCGCGCCAGAGCCAGTGTCGAAGAGATGGTGCTGCTCCCATCTCCTTTGCCAAAGCAAACATGTAGTATCCTCAGCTGCCCGTCACAACAGGTGGAAATGAATCGACTTGAAACTGAGTCTGGGGCCATAGTCCACACCTCAGATTTGCATAGTTTTTGTCTGTGCAGATGTGCAGATCTGTGCAGGTAGTATATGATGTTAGGCTTTTCTGGTGCAAAAGTATCCAGCAACTTCGTCCAAGCAGCGGCGCTAGAGTCCTGGGCTCCTGGCCATAACAGAGCCTGGAATCGGTGAGTCTATAGCAGGAGCTGTCCAGAGGATGTCCCTCCTGGCGCAAGATGACATGGCGTCGGAAAATGAAGGACACCGTGGGATACCCAAAAATTATTGACAATAAGAGCAGATTTTGGGGACCCAAAACATCCCAAAACATCCCAAAACATCCCAAAACCCAATTTTTTGCCAAAGACAAATGGGACCATGCGGTTCCCAAGCTGTCCTTGACCTTATCTTCCAGCAGGCGACACCACCACATTGCTTGCATCTCTGCCATGGGTGGAATCGCACCTGCAGAGGATGAAAACCCAATGAACTTGTGCGGTGAGGATTGATGGAGATGAAATTCACTGAAAACATCTGAAAACACTTGGGCAAGGAGACTGTGTCAAAGTTCCAAAATCATGCTCGAGATCAGCAAATTTCTGGCAATGCGTGGACATCATGGACTTTTTTTTGTTCAAGCTTCAAACTGCGTCGACCACGTGGCTGGCTCCGGTGTTCGGATTCCAGCCTGTGACGCCGGGAACATTATCTTCGGGGCAGGGGCTCGGGCACTTCTCCGGAGCATCGGACATGCGCTCATAGGTGGCAGGGCTGACTTGGAACCAAGGAATGCTGATCTCTGGGCATAGTTCGTCATCCTCGGCCTGCCACGGATTGGGAGCAGTGGCCAGGCCCTGCTCCAGAATCTCTTCGTTCACGTCTAAATCCATCGAGGCCATGGACTCTGGGGCCCCCTGTTGCAACCAGTCTTTGAATGTTTTAAAACTGAATTTACCACCTTTCATAGAGCTGGATCGTTTCTTCATGTTCAGGCCCCTGGCCAGATTGTGAAGCTGTTGCTCCAGCATGGAGGTTAGGGCAACTGTGGGTGGGGCAATGACGATGGCCATTCCCAAGGGCACCATGGGGATGATGCCAAACACGGCAGCAAGGACTACGTAAGCCATACACAGAATTGCCAGCAGTAGCTGCAGCACCACCTGGACCCTTTCCACACGCCGCATTTGAGACTTTAGGGCCTGGCAGCAGACGATTCCGATCACCAGCACAGCAGCGGCGAACACCAGCCCCGCAAGTACTTTCTCAATCGTGGTGTGGATGGAGAGAAGGTGATGGTATTCTGTTCCCAGAATACCATCAATCGCGGAAATGCTCAGCAACAGCCATCCCAGCATTGCCAGGCATGTTAGGAAACAAATGAAGGAGCGATGATTGCGCGCTCCAACCTTGGTGGTTTGTTGATTCCCTGGTAAAAGTCTTTTCTACTAGTGGGTTCATGTGGCTTATGCATGCCTATGTATGCTTATGACTGCTTATGTGGTAAATCCATCTGACCCCCAAAACATCCGAAAACACGAAGAGTCTAAATGAATCTATGGCTATCCAGCAACACAGTTTCCAATCCAATAGCAGTGGTGGTCGAAATCGCGCACGCAGTTGTCGCAAACTTTGCAGTGCGAGGTCCCCGGCAAACGCCTGACCTGGCAGGTTGTGCAATTCTTCAAGTGTTGGATGCGCTCATCCTCCATGAGTGAGCACCAGAACCATTCAATCCTGTTCATCTGGAACTGATCGGCCTCATCGTCCTCGTCAAAGTACGGCATCTGGTCGATTTTCTTGTTCATCTCTTCTGCAAATTTCGACTGCACCCTTTTTCGCTCTTCGGATTCCGCAGGGCGCCAAGGCTCCAAAGGGCGCCCAGGCGGCCTGCTCACAGATGCATACATGTCGCATAACTTCAGCACTGTCTTCCGGCCATCCTTGGATACTGTGAGGGCGGGAAGCATAGATTGCCTCACCTGTACCCCCGGCTCTGTTGCCATGGCCTGAAGAAATCCAAAGATCACTCCAACCAGCAGCAGCCCGGCTGTCACCACAACAAGAATTTTCCAGAAGGCCGAGAGCCGTGGCAGTTCTGCCAGGCAAAAAACGATTACAACTGTGAGAATTGTTGGCAGAGTTGCCACGCTAGGGCACAGCTTCCCAGGCACCAGGAAGGAGCCAAAGCAACAGAAGCGGTTGCGCCCTGGCCATCCCTCCCAAAGCTTCATGTTGGACTTGTTCCAAGATCCTCCAAGAACAAACGGAAGGTTTCCGCAGGTTGCAGGGGAAGACTGTCAGCCGATCAGCTTGAGCCAAATGCCATTTTGATTCATTTTTCACATGGAGTATGGGTCACATTTTGAGGCAAAGGCCATTGATTTTAGCATAATCTTAGCCATGTTTTACTTTGACACACATCCATGTATCTTTCGTACTCATATTGTTTGAAATGTCAGCCAATTTCCAGCCAACTGATGCGGGCGGCGCCTACGTTTGGCCGGATGAAGCCTCAGCTGAAGGTCTATCAGGACAGCAAGAGGTGTTGCAGGACTACAGGACTGTGAAATACCGTGAAAATGTCAATAAGGCATGTGAATCGTATGAATATTTTGAATGCAAGAATCTGCAAGAAGAACAAGATACCAAAAAAAGATGTCGTTGACCAGCAACAGCTAGGGGATGTGCGACGAGTGTGTCCTCATCACAGCCATAGTCGCCCTCATTCCACTCGTTGCGGCTATAGCCTGCTCCACATGGCTGTGGGAAAAAAATGGAAATCTATCTGCAGGCTTTGTGGACTTGAGTTCTTACCCAAGAACAAACAACCACGAATTCTGTATACTAGGGTGCCCACGTGCCCTGCCTCTGGATGCGTCATAGCCCTCATCGTATGGCGGATAGGCCCAGTTGTGCACAGGCTGAATCAGACCGTTGCAGTAGGTGTCTCCTGGGACAGAGGGAGCACTTTGCGAAGAGCCTTTACAGAACCTCCGGATTGTCTGAAAATAGACCCAAAAAATCCCGTAAGGTTTCATCATTTTCCATTCTAGCAGATACTAGCATTGCAAATTTGGGGTATTCACCCCTTATGGACAAACTCGCTGTGTAGACGAAAGAACTTTGTTTTTCCATACAATAAGAGGTCAAATCAACTGTAGTTAGGGTGCAGATGTGCCGAGATTTTCACCGTGGAATTCCTAAGTTGATGGGTTTCCACGGCTGTCCTTGGTTCTGCTTCATGTCGGGGACGGAAACAAACCTGCAGTTTTGCGTGAAGCCCACCTTGCCTCTCAAACATAACAAAATTGCCAAAGTATATATATATATATATATTTATACATATATATATATATAGGTAGTGTCACTAGCCGAGAAAAGAATACCCATGTACTTTCACACATACCCAGCCAGCACACATACTCTGCATTTTTGACATCTTTTGACTAGCTCCTTCTTTATCTTCTTTCTTCCCAACCTTTCCAGTAAACATTCCAAGGAGACATGATGACATGATGTTCCATGATGTTCCAATCCATGTCAAGCAGCTGAAGGCTGCCACTCATTGTGACGTAGGAAACAGCTGCGAGTTGTTCCATTGGCTTCACTGGTTTTTGTACTACATGAGGAAATTGTAAGCAGAACTACCTTCTGTATCTCTCCATAACCCCACGTGCCACATTGGCTGCGGGAACGCCGACAGCGGTACACGAGGCTAAGCCGAGGTTTCCGGGAATCACAGAGAAGCAAGCAAGAACTTCAGCAAAACGGTTCACATGGCGACTTACACTAGACTTTACACTCTACGCTTTACACTCCACACCGCACACTCTACACTTTACACACTCCACTTTACACTTTACACTCTTCCCTCTACACACCATACTTTATACGCTACACGTTACACTCCTCACTCCTTACTGCACACTTTACACTCCACACTCCATACTTTACACTCCACACTCTACACTTCACACTCTACACTTCACACTCTACACTTTACACTCTACACTCTACGCTTTACACACTACACTTTACACTCTACACTTACACTCCACACTCTACACTTGAAACTTTACACTTGACACTCTACACTCCCACACCTTACACCCTTCACCCTGCGGGCTCCTTTGCTTCCCAACAGCTACCTAAAAGAGCCTCACTCCACATTGCCTGCCCACGCCCCAAAGAGCCCGCCCAAGCCACCCTCCAACCTTCCCCCCATCGTACACCCCGCCCCAGCCATCATGTTTCCATACGTCATTTCCAAGCACTCCACATAAGTACTACATGAGGAAATTGTAAGCAGAACTACCTTCTGTATCTCTCCATAACCCCACGTGCCACATTGGCTGCGGGAACGCCGACAGCGGTACACGAGGCTAAGTCGAGGTTTCCGGGAATCACAGAGAAGCAAGCAAGAACTTCAGCAAAACGGTTCACATGGCGACTTACACTAGACTTTACACTCTACGCTTTACACTCCACACCGCACACTCTACACTTTACACACTCCACTTTACACTCTTCCCTCTACACACCATACTTTATACGTTACACGTTACACTCCTCACTCCTTACTGCACACTTTACACTCCACACTCCATACTTTACACTCCACACTCTACACTTCACACTCTACACTTCACACTCTACACTTTACACTCTACACTCTACGCTTTACACACTACACTTTACACTCTACACTTACACTCCACACTCTACACTTGAAACTTTACACTTGACACTCTACACTCCCACACCTTACACCCTTCACCCTGCGGGCTCCTTTGCTTCCCAACAGCTACCTAAAAGAGCCTCACTCCACATTGCCTGCCCACGCCCCAAAGAGCCCGCCCAAGCCACCCTCTTGTCCCTCCAACCTTCCCCCCATCGTACACCCCGCCCCGAAACTCCAATCCGTCCCCTTTGTTTTTTTCCTTCCATTCCCTCTCTTCTTCCATTACTCTTTCCAAGTTTTTCCATTGTTCTGTTATGCTTTGACTCCATTTTTGCATCCTTTTACCCTCCATTCCACTCACCTCCAAATGCACGTCGGAGGACGGACCAGGGGGGAATCGAACCCCGCCGTCACCCAATTGCCACCTGGTACATCAGCCTCAAAATCGACCACGGTGGCCACCCTAATTAGGTGGGGAAGTGCCTCAAAATCGTCCGTTTGGAGACGACCACCCCCCAGACCCCCTATTCTCACTTCGTTCGCAATGAGCAACTTCGCCATGCTTGACAGCTGGCTTTCGTAAAAAATCTGATGAAACCATTCACATACCATTCACATTCCATTCACATGCCATTCACACCAGACCAAAATCATCCTTTGTGAAATGACCTGCATACTTGCTGAAATCTGGATGAGCCAATTGAGCCAAAGCGCTCCAAAGGTAATGGCTTCAATGAGGAAGGTGAGATTCATCACCTCATTCCAACATTTCTGAAGATATAGACCGCTATGTATATATATATATATGTATAATATATATATATACACACACACACTTAATTATATCATATCATATATACAGTCATTGTCCACCACCTTGAGCGTAGAAACACACCACCTAATGCATCCTGATGCTTGGCCATGGTCATCCTATGTCATCCTGGAAAGCCAAGTGGGTATTGCTCAAAATTACACCATCATCTTGTTGGTAAAAGCCATGACTTGCTTTTCTGGGCTATATGATGCTCTATGATGCTCTGTGCACAACATGCACAATCTGTTGAGGCAGTGTCAAGTTGCACCCTTCGCAAACCCTCTCTGATACGCCACATCTGCCACTTTTGAGGTCTGAACCACTGGTCTTGTCCACAAGACATTGTATAGCTCTGAGCGGCAGGTGGCCTGCGGACATTCCGCAGGTTCGGAATTTGAAGCCTCACATTCAAATTCCAAGCAAAGCCTATATTCAAAGCCTCTAAAGGCATAACATGGCATAACATGGCATAACAATGTTGGAATGCTCACATGTTTCTATACAAAGAGTGGATCAAATGTTTCAATGTCCCCGGGGTCCGGTCAGCCTGGCAAGCTGCACTGCGGAATGGTCCTTGAAGACGGAAAATAGGCACGTGCGCTTGGCCTAGGGTCGGATGCCATCGGTTCTCGGATCGTCTCAAGGTCCTATCAACCTCTCCCACGGTTGCGTTGCAGCAACCTTGAGTGGTTCACCTGAGTTGACCTGGGAGACTTCACCGAAGTAAACTGATAAAAGCATAACAAAAAGATACAAAAAGCATGCAACCAGGCTCAACCAGGTGGCCAAAGGCACAGGTCAGCATGACTCGCCAGTCGCGCCAGAGCCAGTGTCGAAGAGATGGTGCTGCTCCCATCTCCTTTGCCAAAGCAAACATGTAGTATCCTCAGCTGCCCGTCACAACAGCTGGAAATGAATCGACTTGAAACTGAGTCTGGGGCCATAGTCCACACCTCAGATTTGCATAGTTTTTGTCTGTACAGATGTGCAGATCTGTGCAGGTAGTATATGATGTTAGGCTTTTCTGGTGCAAAGGTATCCAGCAACTTCGTCCAAGCAGCGGCGCTAGAGTCCTGGGCCCCTGGCCTTAACAGAGCCTGGAATCGGTGAGTCTATAGCAGGAGCTGTCCAGAGGATGTCCCTCCTGGCGCAAGATGACATGGCGTCGGAAAATGAAGGACACCGTGGGATACCCAAAAATTATTGACAATAAGAGCAGATTTTGGGGACCCAAAACATCCCAAAACATCCCAAAACCCAATTTTTTGCCAAAGACAAATGGGACCATGCGGTTCCCAAGCTGTCCTTGACCTTATCTTCCAGCAGGCGACACCACCACATTGCTTGCATCTCTGCCATGGGTGGAATCGCACCTGCAGAGGATGAAAACCCAATGAACTTGTGCGGTGAGGATTGATGGAGATGAAATTCACTGAAAACATCTGAAAACACTTGGGCAAGGAGACTGTGTCAAAGTTCCAAAATCATGCTCGAGATCAGCAAATTTCTGGCAATGCATGGACATCATGGACTTTTTTTTTGTTCAAGCTTCAAACTGCGTCGACCACGTGGCTGGCTCCGGTGTTCGGATTCCAGCCTGTGACGCCGGGAACATTATCTTCGGGGCAGGGGCTCGGGCACTTCTCCGGAGCATCGGACATGCGCTCATAGGTGGCAGGGCTGACTTGGAACCAAGGAATGCTGATCTCTGGGCATAGTTCGTCATCCTCGGCCTGCCACGGATTGGGAGCAGTGGCCAGGCCCTGCTCCAGAATCTCTTCGTTCACGTCTAAATCCATCGAGGCCATGGACTCTGGGGCCCCCTGTTGCAACCAGTCTTTGAATGTTTTAAAACTGAATTTACCACCTTTCATAGAGCTGGATCGTTTCTTCATGTTCAGGCCCCTGGCCAGATTGTGAAGCTGTTGCTCCAGCATGGAGGTTAGGGCAACTGTGGGTGGGGCAATGACGATGGCCATTCCCAAGGGCACCATGGGGATGATGCCAAACACGGCAGCAAGGACTACGTAAGCCATACACAGAATTGCCAGCAGTAGCTGCAGCACCACCTGGACCCTTTCCACACGCCGCATTTGAGACTTTAGGGCCTGGCAGCAGACGATTCCGATCACCAGCACAGCAGCGGCGAACACCAGCCCCGCAAGTACTTTCTCAATCGTGGTGTGGATGGAGAGAAGGTGATGGTATTCTGTTCCCAGAATACCATCAATCGCGGAAATGCTCAGCAACAGCCATCCCAGCATTGCCAGGCATGTTAGGAAACAAATGAAGGAGCGATGATTGCGCGCTCCAACCTTGGTGGTTTGTTGATTCCCTGGTAAAAGTCTTTTCTACTAGTGGGTTCATGTGGCTTATGCATGCCTATGTATGCTTATGACTGCTTATGTGGTAAATCCATCTGACCCCCAAAACATCCGAAAACACGAAGAGTCTAAATGAATCTATGGCTATCCAGCAACACAGTTTCCAATCCAATAGCAGTGGTGGTCGAAATCGCGCACGCAGTTGTCGCAAACTTTGCAGTGCGAGGTCCCCGGCAAACGCCTGACCTGGCAGGTTGTGCAATTCTTCAAGTGTTGGATGCGCTCATCCTCCATGAGTGAGCACCAGAACCATTCAATCCTGTTCATCTGGAACTGATCGGCCTCATCGTCCTCGTCAAAGTACGGCATCTGGTCGATTTTCTTGTTCATCTCTTCTGCAAATTTCGACTGCACCCTTTTTCGCTCTTCGGATTCCGCAGGGCGCCAAGGCTCCAAAGGGCGCCCAGGCGGCCTGCTCACAGATGCATACATGTCGCATAACTTCAGCACTGTCTTCCGGCCATCCTTGGATACTGTGAGGGCGGGAAGCATAGATTGCCTCACCTGTACCCCCGGCTCTGTTGCCATGGCCTGAAGAAATCCAAAGATCACTCCAACCAGCAGCAGCCCGGCTGTCACCACAACAAGAATTTTCCAGAAGGCCGAGAGCCGTGGCAGTTCTGCCAAGCAAAAAACGATTACAACTGTGAGAATTGTTGGCAGAGTTGCCACGCTAGGGCACAGCTTCCCAGGCACCAGGAAGGAGCCAAAGCAACAGAAGCGGTTGCGCCCTGGCCATCCCTCCCAAAGCTTCATGTTGGACTTGTTCCAAGATCCTCCAAGAACAAACGGAAGGTTTCCGCAGGTTGCAGGGGAAGACTGTCAGCCGATCAGCTTGAGCCAAATGCCATTTTGATTCATTTTTCACATGGAGTATGGGTCACATTTTGAGGCAAAGGCCATTGATTTTAGCATAATCTTAGCCATGTTTTACTTTGACACACATCCATGTATCTTTCGTACTCATATGTTTGAAATGTCAGCCAATTTCCAGCCAACTGATGCGGGCGGCGCCTACGTTTGGCCGGATGAAGCCTCAGCTGAAGGTCTATCAGGACAGCAAGAGGTGTTGCAGGACTACAGGACTGTGAAATACCGTGAAAATGTCAATAAGGCATGTGAATCGTATGAATATTTTGAATGCAAGAATCTGCAAGAAGAACAAGATACCAAAAAAAGATGTCGTTGACCAGCAACAGCTAGGGGATGTGCGACGAGTGTGTCCTCATCACAGCCATAGTCGCCCTCATTCCACTCGTTGCCGCTATAGCCTGCTCCACATGGCTGTGGGAGAAAAAAAATGGAAATCTATCTGAAGGCTTTGCGGACTTGAGTTCTTACCCAAGAACAAACAACCACGAATTCTGTATACTAGGGTGCCCACGTGCCCTGCCTCTGGATGCGTCATAGCCCTCATCGTATGGCGGATAGGCCCAGTTGTGCACAGGCTGAATCAGACCGTTGCAGTAGGTGTCTCCTGGGACAGAGGGAGCACTTTGCGAAGAGCCTTTACAGAACCTCCGGATTGTCTGAAAATAGACCCAAAAATCCCGTAAGGTTTCATCATTTTCCATTCAGAAAAGGGCGTCCCCCTCTCTTTCCATTCTAGCAGATACTAGCATTGCAAATTTGGGGTATTCACCCCTTATGGACAAACTCGCTGTGTAGACGAAAGAACTTTGTTTTTCCATACAATAAGAGGTCAAATCAACTGTAGTTAGGGTGCAGATGTGCCGAGATTTTCACCGTGGAATTCCTAAGTTGATGGGTTTCCACGGCTGTCCTTGGTTCTGCTTCATGTCGGGGACGGAAACAAACCTGCAGTTTTGCGTGAAGCCCACCTTGCCTCTCAAACATAACAAAATTGCCAAAGTATATATATTTATATATACATATATATATATATATAGGTAGTGTCACTAGCCGAGAAAAGAATACCCATGTACTTTCACACATACCCAGGCAGCACACATACTCTGCATTTTTGACATCTTTTGACTAGCTCCTTCTTTATCTTCTTTCTTCCCAACCTTTCCAGTAAACATTCCAAGGAGACATGATGACATGATGTTCCATGATGTTCCATGATGTTCCAATCCATGTCAAGCAGCTGAAGGCTGCCACTCATTGTGACGTAGGAAACAGCTGCGAGTTGTTCCATTGGCTTCACTGGCTTTTTGTCCAAACCCCCTCCCGCAGGCATTGCCTTGAGCAATTCAAGTCGCCGGAGAGAGTGACTAGCAAAACAAGGGCCCAAAACATCCAATAACAAGCCTTGGAATAAGGAAGCTGCAACCAAAGTGGCAGACATTTTCGCAGAAATCCCCAGGCAACCCCTTTGCTTGCAATACAGTCAGAAACTCTGCCAGACTCAAATTTCCCATAACCCTGACTAACAAATATTAACCACAGCTTTAGTTTGCGAATCTCTTCCATTGGCATCCATTTCTCGTATCATGGCAATGCTCATTCAATGGTGGGGGGTAATGCGAACTAATTGGTAACTAATTGGATCGAGTTGTAATTGGATCTAGTTGGCAGGTCGGCCCCCAAGAGTGCTTGACATGCCGCTGCGCGGCAAGGAAAATGTAGATTGCAGGTACTGTTCAGACCATTTGTTCTAACCATCCCCAGCAAGTCACAAAATGCTGACAAAAAGCTCCGATCGCTTGTTGAAAATTGTTGAAAGACTTGCTAGTTGACACTGGCTCCACAACGCTCAACTTGAACCGATTGAACCAAAGGCCGTCCTGGAAGCGAATGCACAGCGCAGCAATTTTCCGCCAGTTCCCATAACACCTGGGCTGAGGCGCACTGCGTACAGCAAATCCTGGATGTCCTGGATTTGAACAGCTGTAAGGACTGTAAATTTAGAAAGCCCAAGTCTCTGCAGCAGCATGGTTCTGACCTGAACTTTCAGTTTCTACTTGAGGATATTAAGCTTGCCTCACAGTTTGCACTTTTTCCTCGCTGCAGAAGCATCTTTGGCTCGCGAAGATCTTCGCCTCACAAGTTCCAAGGCATTGGGCGTACAGGCTGTACAGGTGTTTCTCTGGGGCCCATCTAAGCTGATCAAATTTCATTGCAGTCCTCTGCTACCCACATAAAGGCTGGCTTCAGTATCCAAAGCAAGCAGAACTGGAAGAAACAAAACCATACAAAATCCATTATTCCCAGTGGATAAGTAAACGACCATCATAACTACCTATTGGCAATTATATGCAACTATCATCCTTATTAGATCTGATTAGATTGTTCTTCCCATAGCGACAATAGTCCCATGTACTATCTACCATAGTACGATGTTGCAAAAGACCCTACAACTTGGTGTTCTGCTGCAATGTCAAGGTCGATTATGGTCGATTCTGATCCCTTCCATCAGCATTCCGACAGATGTTTGGTCCACCAACCTACATGAGGGGAAAGAAACCTATTGGGTTTCTGATCCAGATCCAACGTTCGCAGTTAGCAAATAGAAAGGAAAGCTTGATCCGAGGGCGCGAGTCAGAAACAAGTCTTTCAAAGCAGAAACACCAGCAAATCCACCATGCCCCGCAACCAGTGCATCTTCATCCGAGTTCATCCTACATCCTCTCAGTTTGTCTGATGCCTCCTCCGCTTCTTTCCAACAGTCGGCGCTTCAGCCTTTTGTGAAGCCTCGCAAAGCTCCAACCAATGGAGATATGTTAGATTATGTTAGAAACAAGTCGGTCAAGTCGGCAATCCCTCAAGTCTCTTTGGTGACTGGTTGTAGAAACACCCACCACATCAATCATCATCAATCATCATCAATTATCATCAATCATCATCAATCATCATCAATTATCATCAATCATCATCAATCATCATCAATCATCATCAATCATCATCAATCATATCAATCATCAATCCACATCACCTGCCCTCACTTGCAGCTTTTTGGAACACCACACGCAGCATCGCGGCATCACGCAGCATCACGCAGCATCACGCAGCATCACGCAGCATCACGCAGCATCACGCAGCATTGAAACTCGCACACTTTGGAACGCTGTGAAGTAAGGGAACGATTGAGGATTCCGGTTGGAAAATTGAATCAAACTTACCTCTGAAAACAAAAACGGCAACGCCATATGACCAACACATACCAACACCATATGACTGGCCCGGAATCGGAAAGGCATGGCAGCCATCACGGATCTGCCATGATTGGTTCGTCGATTCGTCGATCTCCTAATCCAACCGCTTCGGCCATGAGTTCCGGCCCGCGAAAGCCAGCATGCCTTGCACAACCCGGCAGTTTTGCATAGATTTCTGGAACGTGGGGATGTTTCACCAACGTTTCACCAACGTTTCACCAACGTTTCACCAACGTTTCACCACTAAAGACATCTAAAAACGCCTCAAAATGTGTTTAAAATTTAATGCTAAGGGTTAGGATGGATTGAGGATATGACTGATGCAATTGATTGTTGTTGCTCATCATTGGTCTGATGGATGTAACATGATGTAACTAGATGTAACATCATGTAACATCATGTAACCGTCATGTACCTGATGTAAGCAGGAATCATGGGCGGAAACTGATCACAGCTTACAGTAAAAGATCCATGCAGTCATGCCCGCCATGCCGTCGCCGCCACTCCCGTTGGCGCAACCAGGGCTTAGTTGCTGACGAGTCTCCAAGTCCCATTCCCATCAGACAACGTCCCCCAGATTCCAGGAGAGTCGCAACACCATTGATGACCTGCACAAATCTGCACGATGAGAAGATGATGCAAGCGGCTGCACCCTACAAATGTCCCGGAATGCCCCGGCAAAGACACAAAAAACATCAAAAAACCTCAAGAAACCTGAGAAGAGGGGACGAAAGCCAGGGTCAAGTTTGAACGGGGACAGGAGAGTGGAGAGCATGGGAGGGAGTGCGGCGGGGGGTTGGTGGGGGCATCGGGGGAAGGGCGGAGGGGACGGCGGGGTGAGGCTGTGTTGGGTGTGGGCGTGGGGAGCCCTTGGAGAGAAGGAAGGAATGTGTAGGAAGAAGGAGCGGAGGGAAGAAGTGTGGGAAAGGTCGGGAAGGGTGAAGAGAGCGTAGGAGGAAGTGGAACGGGGGGCTCGTTTAAAGAGCTGACGGGGCGCAAAGAAGCCCGGAAGGGGAGAGGACGTGTCGGCGGCAGGGAAGGCAAGGAAGAAGGGGAAGCGGGCGCCTGTGGAGAAAGAAGCTCCGTGGTGTGTTTGAGAAGTGAAGGGAAGGCGGGTGGGTGCTCGGTACTCGACACTTTAGAGTGTACACTGGACATTATACACTTCACAGTCGACACTTGACACACTAGACTGTACACGCTTCACTCTGGGCCCCATAAATTAGATGTTACACTTCACACCCTTCACTCCTCACTGCACACTTGACACGCAATACTCCACACTTTACACTCCACACTCTACACTTGACACGCTACACTTGACACTCTAGACGCTACACTCCACACTCTACACTTGCCACTGTACACCCTTCACTCACATTCTGCCCTCTACACTTTACACTCTACATTGTACACTTTACACACTGCACTTTACACTCTACACTTTACACTCCACACTCGACGCTCGACACTGTACACACTAGACTTTACACTCGACACTCTTCACTCTACACTCCATACCGTACACTTTACACTTTACATTTTATATTTCTGTCCTATCGCCGGGCATCAGCACCCATCTGCAACTTGCACCCTGCGGGCTCCTTTCCTTTACTTCTCAGCAGCTACCTAAAAGAGTATCACTCCAAATGGCCTCCCCAAGCCACGCCCTTTCTTCCTTCCAATCGAACCATATGCACCGCCACACTCCACACCGCACACTCTACACTTTACACACTCCACTTTACACTTTACACTCTTCCCTCTACACACCATACTTTATACGTTACACGTTACACTCCTCACTCCTTACTGCACACTTTACACTCCACACTCCATACTTTACACTCCACACTCTACACTTCACACTCTACACTTTTTACACTCTACACTCTACGCTTTACACACTACACTTTACACTCTACACTTACACTCCACACTCTACACTTTAAACTTTACACTTGACACTCTACACTCCCACACCTTACACCCTTCACCCTGCGGGCTCCTTTGCTTCCCAACAGCTACCTAAAAGAGCCTCACTCCACATTGCCTGCCCACGCCCCAAAGAGCCCGCCCAAGCCACCCTCTTGTCCCTCCAACCTTCCCCCCATCGTACATCCCGCCCCAGCCATCATGTTTCCATACGTCATTTCCAAGCACTCCACATAAGTACTACATGAGGAAATTGTAAGCAGAACTACCTTCTGTATCTCTCCATAACCCCAAGTGCCACATTGGCTGCGGGAACGCCGACAGCGGTACACGAGGCTAAGTCGAGGTTTCCGGGAATCACAGAGAAGCAAGCAAGAACTTAGCAAAACGGTTCACATGGCGACTTACACTAGACTTTACACTCTACGCTTTACACTCCACACCGCACACTCTACACTTTACACACTCCACTTTACACTTTACACTCTTCCCTCTACACACCATACTTTATACGTTACACGTTACACTCCTCACTCCTTACTGCACACTTTACACTCCACACTCCATACTTTACACTCCACACTCTACACTTCACACTCTACACTTCACACTCTACACTTTACACTCTACACTCTACACTCTACGCTTTACACACTACACTTTACACTCTACACTTACACTCCACACTCTACACTTGAAACTTTACACTTGACACTCTACACTCCCAGACCTTACACCCTTCACCCTGCGGGCTCCTTTGCTTCCCAACAGCTACCTAAAAGAGCCTCACTCCACATTGCCTGCCCACGCCCCAAAGAGCCCGCCCAAGCCACCCTCTTGTCCCTCCAACCTTCCCCCCATCGTACATCCCGCCCCAGCCATCATGTTTCCATACGTCATTTCCAAGCACTCCACATAAGTACTACATGAGGAAATTGTAAGCAGAACTACCTTCTGTATCTCTCCATAACCCCACGTGCCACATTGGCTGCGGGAACGCCGACAGCGGTACACGAGGCTAAGTCGAGGTTTCCGGGAATCACAGAGAAGCAAAATTGCAAGAACTTCAGCAAAACGGTTCACATGGCGACTTACACTAGACTTTACACTCTACGCTTTACACTCCACACTCTACACTTCACACTCTACACTTCACACTCTACACTTTACACTCTACACTCTACACTCTACGCTTTACACACTACACTTTACACTCTACACTTACACTCCACACTCTACACTTGAAACTTTACACTTGACACTCTACACTCCCACACCTTACACCCTTCACCCTGCGGGCTCCTTTGCTTCCCAACAGCTACCTAAAAGAGCCTCACTCCACATTGCCTGCCCACGCCCCAAAGAGCCCGCCCAAGCCACCCTCTTGTCCCTCCAACCTTCCCCCCATCGTACACCCCGCCCCGAAACTCCAATCCGTCCCCTTTGTTTTTTTCCTTCCATTCCCTCTCTTCTTCCATTACTCTTTCCAAGTTTTTCCATTGTTCTGTTATGCTTTGACTCCATTTTTGCATCCTTTTACCCTCCATTCCACTCACCTCCAAATGCACGTCGGAGGACGGACCAGGGGGGAATCGAACCCCGCCGTCACCCAATTGCCACCTGGTACATCAGCCTCAAAATCGACCACGGTGGCCACCCTAATTAGGTGGGGAAGTGCCTCAAAATCGTCCGTTTGGAGACGACCACCCCCCAGACCCCCTATTCTCACTTCGTTCGCAATGAGCAACTTCGCCATGCTTGACAGCTGGCTTTCGTAAAAAATCTGATGAAACCATTCACATACCATTCACATTCCATTCACATGCCATTCACACCAGACCAAAATCATCCTTTGTGAAATGACCTGCATACTTGCTGAAATCTGGATGAGCCAATTGAGCCAAAGCGCTCCAAAGGTAATGGCTTCAATGAGGAAGGTGAGATTCATCACCTCATTCCAACATTTCTGAAGATATAGACCGCTATGTATATATATATATGTATAATATATATATATATACACACTTAATTATATCATATCATATATACAGTCATTGTCCACCACCTTGAGCGTAGAAACACACCACCTAATGCATCCGGATGCTTGGCCATGGTCATCCTATGTCATCCTGGAAAGCCAAGTGGGTATTGCTCAAAATTACACCATCATCTTGTTGGTAAAAGCCATGACTTGCTTTTCTGGGCTATATGATGCTCTATGATGCCCTGTGCACAACATGCACAATCTGTTGAGGCAGTGTCAAGTTGCACCCTTCGCAAACCCTCTCTGATACGCCACATCTGCCACTTTTGAGGTCTGAACCACTGGTCTTGTCCACAAGACATTGTATAGCTCTGAGCGGCAGGTGGCCTGCGGACATTCCGCAGGTTCGGAATTTGAAGCCTCACATTCAAATTCCAAGCAAAGCCTATATTCAAAGCCTCTAAAGGCATAACATGGCATAACATGGCATAACAATGTTGGAATGCTCACATGTTTCTATACAAAGAGTGGATCAAATGTTTCAATGTCCCCGGGGTCCGGTCAGCCTGGCAAGCTGCACTGCGGAATGGTCCTTGAAGACGGAAAATAGGCACGTGCGCTTGGCCTAGGGTCGGATGCCATCGGTTCTCGGATCGTCTCAAGGTCCTATCAACCTCTCCCACGGTTGCGTTGCAGCAACCTTGGGTGGTTCACCTGAGTTGACCTGGGAGACTTCACCGAAGTAAACTGATAAAAGCATAACAAAAAGATACAAAAAGCATGCAACCAGGCTCAACCAGGTGGCCAAAGGCACAGGTCAGCATGACTCGCCAGTCGCGCCAGAGCCAGTGTCGAAGAGATGGTGCTGCTCCCATCTCCTTTGCCAAAGCAAACATGTAGTATCCTCAGCTGCCCGTCACAACAGCTGGAAATGAATCGACTTGAAACTGAGTCTGGGGCCATAGTCCACACCTCAGATTTGCATAGTTTTTGTCTGTACAGATGTGCAGATCTGTGCAGGTAGTATATGATGTTAGGCTTTTCTGGTGCAAAGGTATCCAGCAACTTCGTCCAAGCAGCGGCGCTAGAGTCCTGGGCCCCTGGCCTTAACAGAGCCTGGAATCGGTGAGTCTATAGCAGGAGCTGTCCAGAGGATGTCCCTCCTGGCGCAAGATGACATGGCGTCGGAAAATGAAGGACACCGTGGGATACCCAAAATTCTTGACAATAAGAGCAGATTTTGGGGACCCAAAACATCCCAAAACATCCCAAAACCCAATTTTTTGCCAAAGACAAATGGGACTCCATGCGGTTCCCAAGCTGTCCTTGACCTTATCTTCCAGCAGGCGACACCACCACATTGCTTGCATCTCTGCCATGGGTGGAATCGCACCTGCAGAGGATGAAAACCCAATGAACTTGTGCGGTGAGGATTGATGGAGATGAAATTCACTGAAAACATCTGAAAACACTTGGGCAAGGAGACTGTGTCAAAGTTCCAAAATCATGCTCGAGATCAGCAAATTTCTGGCAATGCATGGACATCATGGACTTTTTTTTTGTTCAAGCTTCAAACTGCGTCGACCACGTGGCTGGCTCCGGTGTTCGGATTCCAGCCTGTGACGCCGGGAACATTATCTTCGGGGCAGGGGCTCGGGCACTTCTCCGGAGCATCGGACATGCGCTCATAGGTGGCAGGGCTGACTTGGAACCAAGGAATGCTGATCTCTGGGCATAGTTCGTCATCCTCGGCCTGCCACGGATTGGGAGCAGTGGCCAGGCCCTGCTCCAGAATCTCTTCGTTCACGTCTAAATCCATCGAGGCCATGGACTCTGGGGCCCCCTGTTGCAACCAGTCTTTGAATGTTTTAAAACTGAATTTACCACCTTTCATAGAGCTGGATCGTTTCTTCATGTTCAGGCCCCTGGCCAGATTGTGAAGCTGTTGCTCCAGCATGGAGGTTAGGGCAACTGTGGGTGGGGCAATGACGATGGCCATTCCCAAGGGCACCATGGGGATGATGCCAAACACGGCAGCAAGGACTACGTAAGCCATACACAGAATTGCCAGCAGTAGCTGCAGCACCACCTGGACCCTTTCCACACGCCGCATTTGAGACTTTAGGGCCTGGCAGCAGACGATTCCGATCACCAGCACAGCAGCGGCGAACACCAGCCCCGCAAGTACTTTCTCAATCGTGGTGTGGATGGAGAGAAGGTGATGGTATTCTGTTCCCAGAATACCATCAATCGCGGAAATGCTCAGCAACAGCCATCCCAGCATTGCCAGGCATGTTAGGAAACAAATGAAGGAGCGATGATTGCGCGCTCCAACCTTGGTGGTTTGTTGATTCCCTGGTAAAAGTCTTTTCTACTAGTGGGATCATGTGGCTTATGCATGCCTATGTATGCTTATGACTGCTTATGTGGTAAATCCATCTGACCCCCAAAACATCCGAAAACACGAAGAGTCTAAATGAATCTATGGCTATCCAGCAACACAGTTTCCAATCCAATAGCAGTGGTGGTCGAAATCGCGCACGCAGTTGTCGCAAACTTTGCAGTGCGAGGTCCCCGGCAAACGCCTGACCTGGCAGGTTGTGCAATTCTTCAAGTGTTGGATGCGCTCATCCTCCATGAGTGAGCACCAGAACCATTCAATCCTGTTCATCTGGAACTGATCGGCCTCATCGTCCTCGTCAAAGTACGGCATCTGGTCGATTTTCTTGTTCATCTCTTCTGCAAATTTCGACTGCACCCTTTTTCGCTCTTCGGATTCCGCAGGGCGCCAAGGCTCCAAAGGGCGCCCAGGCGGCCTGCTCACAGATGCGTACATGTCGCATAACTTCAGCACTGTCTTCCGGCCATCCTTGGATACTGTGAGGGCGGGAAGCATAGATTGCCTCACCTGTACCCCCGGCTCTGTTGCCATGGCCTGAAGAATTCCAAAGATCACTCCAACCAGCAGCAGCCCGGCTGTCACCACAACAAGAATTTTCCAGAAGGCCGAGAGCCGTGGCAGTTCTGCCAGGCAAAAAACGATTACAACTGTGAGAATTGTTGGCAGAGTTGCCACGCTAGGGCACAGCTTCCCAGGCACCAGGAAGGAGCCAAAGCAACAGAAGCGGTTGCGCCCTGGCCATCCCTCCCAAAGCTTCATGTTGGACTTGTTCCAAGATCCTCCAAGAACAAACGGAAGGTTTCCGCAGGTTGCAGGGGAAGACTGTCAGCCGATCAGCTTGAGCCAAATGCCATTTTGATTCATTTTTCACATGGAGTATGGGTCACATTTTGAGGCAAAGGCCATTGATTTTAGCATAATCTTAGCCATGTTTTACTTTGACACACATCCATGTATCTTTCGTACTCATATTGTTTGAAATGTCAGCCAATTTCCAGCCAACTGATGCGGGCGGCGCCTACGTTTGGCCGGATGAAGCCTCAGCTGAAGGTCTATCAGGACAGCAAGAGGTGTTGCAGGACTACAGGACTGTGAAATACCGTGAAAATGTCAATAAGGCATGTGAATCGTATGAATATTTTGAATGCAAGAATCTGCAAGAAGAACAAGATACCAAAAAAAGATGTCGTTGACCAGCAACAGCTAGGGGATGTGCGACGAGTGTGTCCTCATCACAGCCATAGTCGCCCTCATTCCACTCGTTGCGGCTATAGCCTGCTCCACATGGCTGTGGGAAAAAAATGGAAATCTATCTGCAGGCTTTGTGGACTTGAGTTCTTACCCAAGAACAAACAACCACGAATTCTGTATACTAGGGTGCCCACGGGCCCTGCCTCTGGATGCGTCATAGCCCTCATCGTATGGCGGATAGGCCCAGTTGTGCACAGGCTGAATCAGACCGTTGCAGTAGGTGTCTCCTGGGACAGAGGGAGCACTTTGCGAAGAGCCTTTACAGAACCTCCGGATTGTCTGAAAATAGACCCAAAAAATCCCGTAAGGTTTCATCATTTTCCATTCTAGCAGATACTAGCATTGCAAATTTGGGGTATTCGCCCCTTATGGACAAACTCGCTGTGTAGACGAAAGAACTTTGTTTTTCCATCCAATAAGAGGTCAAATCAACTGTAGTTAGGGTGCAGATGTGCCGAAATTTTCACCGTGGAATTCCTAAGTTGATGGGTTTCCACGGCTGTCCTTGGTTCTGCTTCATGTCGGGGACGGAAACAAACCTGCAGTTTTGCGTGAAGCCCACCTTGCCTCTCAAACATATCAAAATTGCCAAAGTATATATGGTACAGGCCTGCAACCCCCCCCCTCCCCCCCCGCGATGGTGATGGTTCCTAGGGTTGGGCGTACTATCTCCCTGGAATCCAACTATCATGCAAGGTAGGTATCTCTGCTTCCCCGCCCCCCCCCTGTGGGGTGGGTTGGGTGCAGTATGTATGTGCCTACGTAGGTTGGTAGGTATAGGCATGTATGTATGTATGTATGTATGTATGTATGTATGTACTGTATGTACTGTATGTACAGTATGTACAGTATGTACAGTATGTACAGTATGTACAGTATGTACAGTATGTACAGTATGTACAGTATGTACAGTATGTACAGTATGTACAGTATGTACAGTATGTACAGTATGTACAGTATGTACAGTATGTACAGTATGTACTGTATGTACAGTATGTACAGTATGTACTGTATGTACTGTATGTACTGTATGTACTGTATGTACTGTATGTACTGTATGTACTGTATGTACTGTATGTACTGTATGTACTGTATGTACTGTATGTACTGTATGTACTGTATGTATGTATGTATGTATGTATGTATGTATGTATGTATGTATGTATGTATGTATGTATGTATGTATGTATGTATGTATTCATGCTTCCCCCCCCCCCTGTGGGGTGGGTTGGGTGTAGTATGTATGTACCTACGTAGGTTGGTAGGTAGGCATGTATCTATGTGTGTATGTATTTATGTATGTATGTATGTATGTATGTAGGTATGCTTCCCCGTCCCCCCCTGTGGGGTGGGGTGGGTGTAGTATGTGTGTACCTACGTAGGTTGGTAGGTAGGCATGTATCTATGTGTGTATGTATTTATGTATGTATGTATGTATGTCTGTCTGTATGTATGTATGTATGTACCTATGTATGTATGTATGTATGGCGTGCTGGCTGGGTATGTGTGAAAGTACATGGGTATTCTTTTCTCGGCTAGTGACCCTACCTATATATATATATATACGTATATGTATATGTATATATATACATATATGGTCCCGGTCGGCGGCCGGCAACCCCCCCCAATGGTATCCCCCCCCTGGTATTCCCCCCCCTGCATACATACATACAGGCCTACCTACCTACATACCTACCTACCTACCTACGTATGTTCGTACGTACGTACGTTCGTACGTACGTACGTACGTACGTACGTATGTACGTACGTACATACATACATACATACATACATACCATACATACCATACATACCAACCATACATACCAACCATACATACCAACCATACATACCAACCATACATACCAACCATACATACCAACCATACATACCAACCATACATACCAACCATACATACCAACCATACATACCAACCATACATACCAACCATGCATTACATTACATTACATTACATTTACATTTACATTTACATTTACATTACATTACATTACATTACATTACATTACATACATACATACATACATAATACTCTGCATTTTTGACATCTTTTGACTAGCTCCTTCTTTATCTTCTTTCTTCCCAACCTTTCCAGTAAACATTCCAAGGAGACATGATGACATCATGTTCCATGATGTTCCAATCCATGTCAAGCAGCTGAAGGCTGCCACTCATTGTGACGTAGGAAACAGCTGCGAGTTGTTCCATTGGCTTCACTGGTTTTGTGTCCAAACCCCCTCCCGCAGGCATTGCCTTGAGCAATTCAAGTCGCCGGAGAGAGTGACTAGCAAAACAAGGGCCCAAAACATCCAATAACAAGCCTTGAAATAAGGAAGCTGCAACCAAAGTGGCAGACATGTTCGCAGAAATCCCCAGCCAACCCCTTTGCTTGCAATACAGTCAGAACTCTGCCAGACTCAAATTTTCCATAACCCTGATTAACAAATATTAACCACAGCTTTAGTTTGCGAATCTCTTCCATTTGCATCCATTTCTCGTATCATGGCAATGCTCATTCAATGGTGGGGGGTAACGCGAACTAATTGGTAACTAATTGGATCGAGTTGTAATTGGATCTAGTTGGCAGGTCGGCCAAGAGTGCTTGAAATGCCGCTGCGCGGCAAGGAAAATGTAGATTGCAGGTACTGTTCAGACCATTTGTTCTAACCATCCCCAGCAAGTCACAAAATGCTGACAAAAAGCTCCGATCGCTTGTTGAAAATTGTTGACAGACTTGCTAGTTGACACTGGCTCCACAACGCTCAACTTGAACCGATTGAACCAAAGGCCGTCCTGGAAGCGAATGCACAGCGCAGCAATTTTTCCGCCAGTTCCCATAACACCTGGGCTGAGGCGCACTGCGTACGGCAAAGAATCCTGGATGTCCTGGATTTGAACAGCTGTAAGGACTGTAAATTTAGAAAGCCCAAGTCTCTGCAACAGCATGGTTCTGAACTGAAAGCCTGCCTCACAGTTTGCACTTTTTCCTCGCTTTCAGCAGAAGCATCTTTGGCTTTGCGCGAAGATCTTCACCTGTTCACAAGTTCCAAGGCATTGGGCGTACAGGTGTTTCTCTGGGGCCCATCTAAGCTGATCAAATTTCATTGCAGTCCTCACCTATCACATAAAGGCTGGCTTCAGTATCCAAAGCAAGCAGAACTGTAAGAAACAAAACCCAGTATTCCCAGTGGATAAGTAAACGGCCATTATAACTACCTATTGGCAATTATATGCAACTATCATCCTTATTAGATCTGATTAGATTGTTCTTCCCATAGCGACAATAGTCCCATGTACTATCTACCATAGTACGATGTTGCAAAAGACGCTACACCGGGTCCTTTTACAGTGGAAGTCAGGATGGAAAAACCTGTCGGTTTACATGGAAGTCGTTTACGTCCAATTCCTGGGGAAAAAGTGAAACTGGGCCACCGGGCCAGCAGATGCAGAAAAACTGACCGTGAATCTCTTACATGGAAGTAGCTCATCAGATATGTCAGTAACATATTCATCATGGAAGTGTGAAAACTGAGACTAAAAACCCTTACGTCGAAGTAACTTGAGGGTCCAGACATCAGGTTGGCAACTTCTATGTTAACATGTTCTCCCCTGATGTTGAATACATCCTTCTAGGGCGATCCCTAAAACCCACAGACTGACCGCCACATCATTTTTTCTTCTTTGCATCTATCTTCTCACCCCTGTCATGTCCGAGCGATTGAGGATGCAACCTTTCGAAATCAATGGTGCCACAATTGGTGCTCGCTAACATGGCACTTCCCACATCCAACTTCAAGTAGCAAATTTCTATGTAAGTTATCCGTTCCAATCGTTGGTTGTTAAAAAATGGAGGCATTCCCAGCTTTATCTTGAAAAAGTTCAAAATTCCTACGTTAATCAACAAATGCCCAAAAAGAACTAGCCAAAAAAAAAAGGGCTCAGATCCAAAGAACACAAATTTGCAGTTTACCCCCCCCATTGCAACTAACATGGAAGTAAACCTCCGAATTGTCACTTTAGTTAACGTGGAAGATTTTTTTTTGCACTACGGTAAAAGGAGGACCGAGCGCTCGCTAACATGGCACTGCCCACATCCAACTTCAAGTAGCAAAATTCTATGTAAGTTATCCGTTCCAATCGTTGGTTGTTAAAAAATGGAGGCATTCCCAGCTTTATCTTGAAAAATTCAAAGTTCCTACGTTAATCAACAAATGCCCAGGATTCCCGGGGAACTCGTGGCAAAAAGAACTAGCCAAAAAAGAAAGGGCTCAGATCCAAAGAAGACAAATTTGCAGTTTACCCCCCCCATTGCAACTAACATGGAAGTAAACCTCCGAATTGTCACTTTAGTTAACGTGGAAGATTTTTTTTGCACTACGGTAAAAGGAGGACCGAGCGCTCGCTAACATGGCACTGCCCACATCCTACTTCAAGTAGCAAATTTCTATGTAAGTTATCCGTTCCAATCGTTGGTTGTTAAAAAATGGAGGCATTCCCAGCTTTATCTTGAAAAAAATCAAAATTTCTACGTTAATCAACAAATGCCCAGGATTCCCGGGGAACTCGTGGCAAAAAGAACTAGCCCAAAAAAAAAAGGGCTCAGATCCAAAGAACACAAATTTGCAGTTTACCCCCCCCATTGCAACTAACATGGAAGTAAACCTCCGAATTGTCACTTTAGTTAACGTGGAAGATTTTTTTTTGCACTACGGTAAAAGGAGGACCGAGCGCTCGCTAACATGGCACTGCCCACATCCTACTTCAAGTAGCAAATTTCTATGTAAGTTATCCGTTCCAATCGTTGGTTGTTAAAAAATGGAGGCATTCCCAGCTTTATCTTGAAGAAATCAAAATTTCTACGTTAATCAACAAATGCCCAGGATTCCCGGGGAACTCGTGGCAAAAAGAACTAGCCCAAAAAAAAAAGGCTCAGATCCAAAGAACACAAATTTGCAGTTTGCCCCCCCATTGCAACTAACATGGAAGTAAACCTCCGAATTGTCACTTTAGTTAACGTGGAAGATTTTTTTTTTGCACTACGGTAAAAGGAGGACCGAGCGCTCGCTAACATGGCACTGCCCACATCCTACTTCAAGTAGCAAATTTCTATGTAAGTTATCCGTTCCAATCGTTGGTTGTTAAAAAATGGAGGCATTCCCAGCTTTATCTTGAAAAAATCAAAATTTCTACGTTAATCAACAAATGCCCAGGATTCCCGGGGAACTCGTGGCAAAAAGAACTAGCCAAAAAAAAAAGGGCTCAGATCCAAAGAACACAAATTTGCAGTTTACCCCCCCCATTGCAACTAACATGGAAGTAAACCTCCGAATTGTCACTTTAGTTAACGTGGAAATTTTTTTTTGCACTACGGTAAAAGGAGGACCGAGCGCTCGCTAACATGGCACTGCCCACATCCTACTTCAAGTAGCAAATTTCTATGTAAGTTATCCGTTCCAATCGTTGGTTGTTAAAAAATGGAGGCATTCCTAGCTTTATCTTGAAAAATTCAAAATGTCTACGTTAATCAACAAATGCCCAGGATTCCCGGGGAACTCGTGGCAAAAAGAACTAGCCCAAAAAAAAAAAAGGCTCAGATCCAAAGAACACAAATTTGCAGTTTACCCCCCCATTGCAACTAACATGGAAGTAAACCTCTGAATTGTCACTTTAGTTAACGTGGAAGAAAAATATATATTTTTGTTTTTTGCGCTACGGTAAAAGGAGGGGGAGTACAACTTGGACTCGTGGTGTTCTGCTGCAATGTCAAGGTCGATTATGGTCGATTCTGATCCCTTCCATCAGCATTCCGACAGATGTTTGGTCCACCAACCTACATGAGGGGAAAGAAACCAATTGGGTTTCTGATCCAGATCCAAGGTTCGCAGGTAGCAAATAGAAAGGAAAGCTTGATCCGAGGGCGCGAGTCAGAAACAAGTCTGTCAAAGCAGAAGCACCAGCAAATCCACCATGCCCCGCAACCAGTGCATCTTCATCCGAGTTCATCCTACATCCTCTCAGTTTGTCTGATGCCTCCTCCGCTTCTTTCCAACAGTCGGCGCTTCAGCCTTTTGTGAAGCCTCGCAGAGCTCCAACCAATGGAGATATGTTAGATTATGTTAGAAACAAGTCGGTCAAGTCGGCAATCCCTCAAGTCCCTTTGGTGACTGGTTGTAGAAACACCCACCACATCAATCATCATCAATCATCATCAATTATCATCAATTATCATCAATCATCATCAATCATCATCAATCATATCAATCATCAATCCACATCACCTGCCCTCACTTGCAGCTTTTTGGAACACCACACGCAGCATCGCGGCATCACGCAGCATCACGCAGCATCACGCAGCATCACGCAGCATCACGCAGCATTGAAACTCGCACACTTTGGAACGCTGTGAAGTAAGGGAACGATTGAGGATTCCGGTTGGAAAATTGAATCAAACTTACCTCTGAAAACAAAAACGGCAACGCCATATGACCAACACATACCAACACCATATGACTGGCCCGGAATCGGAAAGGCATGGCAGCCATCACGGATCTGCCATGATTGGTTCGTCGATTCATCGATCTCCTAATCCATCCGCTTCGGCCATGAGTTCCGGCCCGCAAAAGCCAGCATGCCTTGCACAACGCAGCAATTTTGCATAGATTTCTGGAACGTGGGGATGTTTCACCAACGTTTCACCAACGTTTCACCAACGTTTCACCACTAAAGACATCTAAAAACGCCTCAAAATGTGTTTAAAGTTTAAAGCTAAGGATTAGGATGGATTGAGGATACGACTCACGCAATTGATTGTTGTTGCTCATCATTGGTCTGATGGATGTAACATGATGTAACTACATGTAACATCATGTAACCGTCATGTAACCGTCATGTAACTGATGTAAGCAGGAATCATGGGCGGAAACTGATCACAACTTAAAAGATCCATGCACCCGTCATGCCGGCCGTGCCGTCGCCGCCACTCCCGTTGGCGCAACAGGGTTAGTTGCTGACGAGTCTCCAAGTCCCATTCCCATCAGACAACGTCCCCCAGATTCCAGGAGAGTCGCAACACCATTGATGACCTGCACAAATCTGCACGATGAGAAGATGATGCAAGCGGCTGCACCCTACAGATGTCCCGGAATGTCCCGGAATGTCCCTGAATCCCTGGAGCTTCAACTGCAAAGACACAAAAAACATCAAAAAACATCAAGAAAAAAATCTGATGAAACCATTCACATACCATTCACATGCCATTCACATGCCATTCACATGCCATTCACACCAGACCAAAATCATCCTTTGTGAAATGACCTGCATATTTGCTGAAATCTAGATGAGCCAAATTGAACCAAAGCGCTCCAAAGGTAATGGCTTCAATGAGGAAGGTGAGATTCATCACCTCATTCCAACATTTCTGAAGATATAGACCGCTATGTATATATATATATATGTGTGTGTATATATATATATACACACTTAATTATATCATATCATATATACAGTATTATACAGTCATTGTCCACCACCTTGAGCGTAGAAACACACCACCTAATGCATCCTGATGCTTGGCCATGGTCATCCTATGTCATCCTGGAAAGCCAAGTGGGTATTGCTCAAAATTACACCATCATCTTGTTGGTAAAAGCCATGACTTGCTTTTCTGGGCTATATGATGCTCTATGATGCTCTGTGCACAACATGCACAATCTGTTGAGGCAGTGTCAAGTTGCACCCTTCGCAAACCCTCTCTGATACGCCACATCTGCCACTTTTGAGGTCTGAACCACTGGTCTTGTCCACAAGACATTGTATAGCTCTGAGCGGCAGGTGGCCTGCGGACATTCCGCAGGTTCGGAATTTGAAGCCTCACATTCAAATTCCAAGCAAAGCCTATATTCAAAGCCTCTAGAGGCATAACATGGCATAACATGGCATAACATGGCATAACATGGCATAACATGGAATAACATGGCATAACAATGTTGGAATGCTCACATGTTTCTATACAAAGAGTGGATCAAATGTTTCAATGTCCCCGGGGTCCGGTCAGCCTGGCAAGCTGCACTGCGGAATGGTCCTTGAAGACGGAAAATAGGCACGTGCGCTTGGCCTAGGGTCGGATGCCATCGGTTCTCGGATCGTCTCAAGGTCCTATCAACCTCTCCCACGGTTGCGTTGCAGCAACCTTGAGTGGTTCACCTGAGTTGACCTGGGAGACTTCACCGAAGTAAACTGATAAAAGCATAACAAAAAGATACAAAAAGCATGCAACCAGGCTCAACCAGGTGGCCAAAGGCACAGGTCAGCATGACTCGCCAGTCGCGCCAGAGCCAGTGTCGAAGAGATGGTGCTGCTCCCATCTCCTTTGCCAAAGCAAACATGTAGTATCCTCAGCTGCCCGTCACAACAGCTGGAAATGAATCGACTTGAAACTGAGTCTGGGGCCATAGTCCACACCTCAGATTTGCATAGTTTTTGTTTGTGCAGATGTGCAGATCTGTGCAGGTAGTATATGATGTTAGGCTTTTCTGGTGCAAAAGTATCCAGCAACTTCGTCCAAGCAGCGGCGCTAGAGTCCTGGGCTCCTGGCCATAACAGAGCCTGGAATCGGTGAGTCTATAGCAGGAGCTGTCCAGAGGATGTCCCTCCTGGCGCAAGATGACATGGCGTCGGAAAATGAAGGACACCGTGGGATACCCAAAAATTATTGACAATAAGAGCAGATTTTGGGGACCCAAAACATCCCAAAACATCCCAAAACATCCCAAAACCCAATTTTTTGCCAAAGACAAATGGGACCATGCGGTTCCCAAGCTGTCCTTGACCTTATCTTCCAGCAGGCGACACCACCACATTGCTTGCATCTCTGCCATGGGTGGAATCGCACCTGCAGAGGATGAAAACCCAATGAACTTGTGCGGTGAGGATTGATGGAGATGAAAATCACTGAAAACATCTGAAAACACTTGGGCAAGGAGACTGTGTCAAAGTTCCAAAATCATGCTCGAGATCAGCAAATTTCTGGCAATGCATGGACATCATGGACTTTTTTTTTGTTCAAGCTTCAAACTGCGTCGACCACGTGGCTGGCTCCGGTGTTCGGATTCCAGCCTGTGACGCCGGGAACATTATCTTCGGGGCAGGGGCTCGGGCACTTCTCCGGAGCATCGGACATGCGCTCATAGGTGGCAGGGCTGACTTGGAACCAAGGAATGCTGATCTCTGGGCATAGTTCGTCATCCTCGGCCTGCCACGGATTGGGAGCAGTGGCCAGGCCCTGCTCCAGAATCTCTTCGTTCACGTCTAAATCCATCGAGGCCATGGACTCTGGGGCCCCCTGTTGCAACCAGTCTTTGAATGTTTTAAAACTGAATTTACCACCTTTCATAGAGCTGGATCGTTTCTTCATGTTCAGGCCCCTGGCCAGATTGTGAAGCTGTTGCTCCAGCATGGAGGTTAGGGCAACTGTGGGTGGGGCAATGACGATGGCCATTCCCAAGGGCACCATGGGGATGATGCCAAACACGGCAGCAAGGACTACGTAAGCCATACACAGAATTGCCAGCAGTAGCTGCAGCACCACCTGGACCCTTTCCACACGCCGCATTTGAGACTTTAGGGCCTGGCAGCAGACGATTCCGATCACCAGCACAGCAGCTGCAAACACCAGCCCCGCAAGTACTTTCTCAATCGTGGTGTGGACTGAGAGAAGGTGATGGTATTCTGTTCCCAGAATACCATCAATCGCGGAAACGCTCAGTAACAGCCATCCCAGCATTGCCAAGCATGTTAGGAAACAAATGAAGGAGCGATGATTGCGCGCTCCAACCTTGGTGGTTTGTTGATTCCCTGGTAAAAGTCTTTTCTACTAGTGGGTTCATGTGGCTTATGCATGCCTATGTATGCTTATGACTGCTTATGTGGTAAATCCATCTGACCCCCAAAACATCCAAAAACACGAAGAGTCTAAATGTATCTATGGCTATCCAGCAACACAGTTTCCAATCCAATAGCAGTGGTGGTCGAAGTCGCGCACGCAGTTGTCGCAAACTTTGCAGTGCGAGGTCCCCGGCAAACGCCGGACCTGGCAGGTTGTGCAATTCTTCAAGTGTTGGATGCGCTCATCCTCCATGAGTGAGCACCAGAACCAGTCAATCCTGTTCATCTGGAACTCATCGGCCTCATCGTCCTCGTCAAAGTACGGCATCTTCTCGATTTTCTTGTTCATCTCTTCTGCAAATTTCGACTGCACCCTTTTTCGCTCTTCGGATTCCGCAGGGCGCCAAGGCTCCAAAGGGCGCCCAGGCGGCCTGCTCACAGATGCGTACATGTCGCATAACTTCAGCACTGTCTTCCGGCCATCCTTAGATACTGTGAGGGCGGGAAGCATAGATTGCCTCACCTGTACCCCCGGCTCTGTTGCCATGGCCTGAAGAAATCCAAAGATCACTCCAACCAGCAGCAGCCCGGCTGTCACCACAACAAGAATTTTCCAGAAGGCCGAGAGCCGTGGCAGTTCTGCCAGGCAAAAAACGATTACAACTGTGAGAATTGTTGGCAGAGTTGCCACGCTAGGGCACAGCTTCCCAGGCACCAGGAAGGAGCCAAAGCAACAGAAGCGGTTGCGCCCTGGCCATCCCTCCCAAAGCTTCATGTTGGACTTGTTCCAAGATCCTCCAAGAACAAACGGAAGGTTTCCGCAGGTTGCAGGGGAAGACTGTCAGCCGATCAGCTTGAGCCAAATGCCATTTTGATTCATTTTTCACATGGAGTATGGGTCACATTTTGAGGCAAAGTGGCAAAGGCCATTGATTTTAGCATAATCTTAGCCATGTTTTACTTTGACACACATCCATGTATCTTTCGTACTCATATTGTTTGAAATGTCAGCCAATTTCCAGCCAACTGATGCGGGCGCCTACGTTTGGCCGGATGAAGCCTCAGCTGAAGGTCTATCAGGACAGCAAGAGGTGTTGCAGGACTACAGGACTGTGAAATACCGTGAAAATGTCAATAAGGCATGTGAATCGTATGAATATTTTGAATGCAAGAATCTGCAAGAAGAACAAGATACATACAAAACCTGAGAAGGGCGGACGAAAGCCAGCCCCTAGCCGGAATCTTTTTGGTTCTGCAAAGAAATGTCGCGGTAGCGCCCGTTTTTGTCTGGCCTCCCTCCATTTTTGTTATTTCCAGCAACAAGGAGACCTTTTTAAAACACACTGTCTATATATATATATATATGACACAACTTGCCTGCACGTTCCTTTTTTGTCACACGTGTCCTTGCTTTGCAACCCTTCGCCACTCCTTCCTCGGTATCACTCCTCATCCCCTTGCAAACTGTCTTGCTCCGAACCCCAACGGACGCTGCTCTCCGTTGAGTTTCAGATCCTTAGTTTTTCAATATGCTTGCCTCTATGTTCCTAGCTATGCCTTTCCTCCATTTCATGCCTTTTTTTTGAAACCTTCTCCTGCGTTTTCCTACGGTTTTTCAAGAGTTTCCTTCCTGCAATTTCCTTATTTTCCCAAGGGTTTCCTCAATTTTCCTTGGTCTTTCCAAGTTTGCCATTCATTTTTTCCTCCATTTTAATTGTTTTTTTCACAATTTTCCTCCATTTTCCTCCATTGTCCCCCCTGTTTTTAACGATGTTCCTTCGTTTTCCTTGGTTTTTTCCTACCTTTTTCCTTCCGTTTTCAAGGGACCTAAGGAAAATCGAACCCCACCGTCACCAAATTGCCTAGTGGTACATGCCCCCCTGAAAAATTCCAATTGGCTGCCCTTATCATCACCCAATATCGAGATTTCGGTGCACCTCGGCAACCTCGCGAAAACAACTTTGCCTAGCCTATCGGCTGGCTTTCGTAATTGAAACCTTTGCCGATGTAGCTCTGCCAGGTCGGCCAACAGGGCTTGCGCAAAAATGTTTTCATGGAGCCAAGCCCGGGCACCATCCAGCAATACTTACTTCCAAAGGCCAGGATTGATCACCGTACCTGGCGGGGCCACGACACTGACCTCTCGAACTGCCATACCAAACACCGTAATCTCCACAACTATGGGATATTTCAGCCATAGCCGTTAGGTCTCGTCCGTTTTTGTCTGGCCTCCCTCCATTTTTGCTACTTCCAGCAACAAGAATTCTTTTTAAAGCACATTATCAATATATATATATATATGGCAGAACTTGCCTGCATGTTCCTTTTTTGTCACACTTGTCCTTGCTTTGCAACCCTTCGCCACTCCTTCCTCGGTATCACTCCTCATCCCCTCGCAAACTGTCTTGCTCAGAACCCCAACGGACGCTGCTCTCCGTTGAGCTTCGGATCCTTAGTTTTTTCAATATGTTTGCCTCTATGTTCCTAGTTTTTTCAAAGCTTTGCCTGTCCTCCATTTCACGTCTTTTTTTCAAACCTTTTCCTTCCTGCAATTTCCTTGTTTTCCCAAGGGTTTCCTCAATTTTCCTTGGTTTTTCCAAGCTTGCCATTCATTTTTTCCTCCATTTTAATGGTTTTTTCAACATTTTCATCCACTTTCCTCCATTTGCAACCCTTCGCCACTCCTTCCTCAGCATCACTCCTCGGCCCCTTGCAAACCGTCTTGCTCCGAACCCCAACGGACGCTGCTCTCCATTGAGCTTCGGATCCTTTTTTTTTAATATGTTTGCCTCTATGTTCCTAATTTTTTCAAAGCTTTGCCTTGCCTCCATTTCATGCCTTTTTTTCAAACCTTTTCCTGCGTTCCTACGGTTTTTCCAGAGTTCCCAACGGTTTCCTCGATTTCCTTGGTTTTTCCAAGCTTGCCATTCATTTTTTCCTCCATTTTAATGGTTTTTTTCACAATTTTCCTCCATGTTCCCTTGTTTTAATGATTTTCCTTGGTTTTTTCCTACCTTTTTCCTTCCGTTTTCAAGGGACTAAGGAAAATCCAACCCCGCCATCGCCACATTGCCTAGTGGTACATGCCCCCCTAAAAAATTCCAATTGGCCACCCTAATCACCACCCAATATCGAGATTTCGGTGCACCTGGGCAACCTCCACCCCCCACACCCCCTATACAGACTTCGTTCGCGAAAACAACTTTGCCTAGCCTATCGGCTGGCTTTCGTAAAAATGATGTAAAACTGTAAAACTTCTATTGTTACCAAAAGGGTATGATAAACTACTTGCTACCAAGGAGCCTATGTAGCTCAGCCGCGGTTGCTGCGGATCAACAAGGAAATGGCGCTGGGGCAGTGGATCCTCTCTGGTACCTACAGGGATTCACCCTGCAGAGATGGGATGTTCCTACCCACTGCAATAGTGATTGATGTATCCAATACAAGGAATCCCCAATCGTGGATGAACATGCCTCAAGGTTCAGTTCATCTCAGCTACGCGCACCCTGAGACGTGTAGCCTCCTGCCTTCGCCGTGCAGGAATGGAAAGCGCTGCCCTGAAGAGATGTCAGTATCCACAGTCCACAGTGCTTTCATAGTCAGTGTTTAAAGAAGTTCAATGGGTGGCCAAGGCAACATGATACATAATCTGTGTCTGTGCAATGTATGTGTGTCTCTGGATAGATAGCTACATGGATGGAGAGATAGATTGACGTAAGTAGATAGACAGATCAGTGTACCGTATTTGTAGATATATGGTACATGATGCATAGATAGATGGTTGGGTAGATCAATAGATAGCTGATTATTGATTAGGTACGAACCATGAAGATAGATAGAAATAAATCGGAATGGTCCAAAATGGGGTACAAATGGACGCACACAATTGATCATGTTCGGTCAAAAACCTATTAAGCCAACCGTTGTGGTCAATCATTTCGAGCCATACCCGGAGAAGTATCAATAGACATCCGAAAAGATTTCGCCACTGGGCCAAGAGGCGGTAGCCGGTGGCCAGCACCAGAAGATCTGTGTTCACGTGCTGCTCCCCGGTCGCAGTATCATAGACCACGCCATCTGGTTGCAGCTCCAGAACAGAGCCCTGGCCAGTATTTCCACCGGCAAAAACCAGGGATGTAAGTTCATGTGCCAGGCATTGATGGGAAAGCATTGAAAAGTATTATACTGATTAGAAGATATTAGAAGTCCATTTCATGAGTCTTACAGATTCTTACAGTACGTGTTCATACATTTTGTGCATCACCACCAGTTCTGAGGGTCTGATGCATGGTCCACTAGCAATCCACCAGCCTCTACCAAGTCAATGTCCAAGGGTATGTCGTTGTACTCACCGTCCATCCTCACAGATAGGCTGAAAAAAAAACTGAAAATCCATCCCTATGATGGGTGCGGGCCTTAACGCAGCTTTCTGGGCGTTAAAGATTCATTGGGATGCTGTGGATGCAGTGGAGGGTTCACAATGCAGATCCCTACTATTTATACATTATACTATTTATATCTATTTGTACTCACTGTGGTGCTTTCGCAAATCCTTTCGAGGTGCTTTCGCGACCACACTCCCGGCTTTCGCGCAATGAACATTTGGCAGAACTGCTTTCGCGGAGCTTTCCCCGTATTTGGGAAGTTTATAAGATCAAAACAACCTGTGATACACATATATGATATGATGCATCGCTACTTGAAATCGGTCAATCAGCCACTTTCGCGAAGCTTTCGCGGCGGTCTCTGGCCATTTGGTCTTTGCCAAGCTTTCGCCCAACTTTCGCGAGCTGGGTTTTATCTTTCGCGGGCACTACCCAGTTTAAGCCCAAGTAAAGCCCTTTACAGAAGGGTTTTTGAACGCTGCTCACGTGTCCAGCACACATTCAAGGATATGTCTGGGAATTGCTTTATTCCTGTAGTCAGCACTTCATCTTTAACCAGGTGAATCTTCCCCCAGCCATTGCGCTTTGCGCTTGCCCGGATCCATTGAGGCTGAGATGCCATGAGTAGATAATTCTCCGCAACCAACTAACCTTCTTCTTGGCCACTCGGCTCAACAGAGGCATGCATTTCCTGAAGGAACGGTGCCGAAATCGTTGTTGCTTGATGGGTTGACAGTCAATTTCCATTCTGAGATCTAAAGAGGAGACACGAAACATAAAGCCGACAAGTCACAAGGGCATCTCTACTAGATGAAACATTGTATAAGAATTGGTCGCCCACTGGTGACCCCTGTCTGAGTGTCTCCTATAGCCTATAACTTGTAGAGTTGTTCCACCCGTGTCGACTCGAAAAGAAAATCTACATGCAGCACTGTCTCTGTTGTGGGCTCTTCCCCAACAGGTGCTGTCACATCGTCATTACGTGCCAGGCTGCGAGGATTTGTTCACGATATGTTTTCGGCCATCATCCCAGGTCATGTTGTACCTCAACAGGGCAGACGGGCCATATAGGCGGTTTAGCCCATTCTTGAGCTATATTGAGGAAAGTCTCACAGCTACCATGATTTCACTGGCCAGGAATAGATTGATTTTGTATAGTCTTCTGGTTCTTGTGGTCAGTGCCGATGTGCATACCAGTAACCGTTTGATTCAAAGCTAAATTCCTCCACCAAGCCGTTGGTGCTTGGGGGCACCTACGATCCCAAAGAACTTGGCTGCGAAAGCAGTATTCCCATACACGTATTGTAGCGCCCAAATTCACTAGAATCCAGTGAGATTTGACCCCCACCCATACATGAGGCTGCACCCAGCCAAGACGCCGCTTGCCAACCCACTGGTTGAAGCCATACGAACAGCCTGATGCTTTTGAAGAGGCTTGTTCTTTGAAGAGGTTTGTTCAGTGGTCTGCGAAAACCTTCCGGCCTGTGGTGAAGAGAAAACCCAAGCGAGTAAACTTTGTAGTTACCTTGACACCGCAGAAGGCCATGCATGGTGAAGTGAGAATTCCTGGTCAATATTGCATCAAATATACGTTGCATTCCTAAAAGCTTGTTTAGTTAATTATTTTAGTTGATGATGGTCGTGCGAGCCAATAACTTATGATGAACCCATCAATCGAAACTGTGTATCCAAGCCAGTGACCCACCAATGCATTCCAACACGCTGCGCCCATTTGCTTTCCCAGGCCTCAGCTGCACCGGCCACGTGGGTTGCATATTTTTTCACGTGGTCCAGTTGTGGCCCAAGGATGTCCAAGGCACATGGGTTGCCCAGTTCATGATGACGCAATCCAAAGGCGGATTGTTCTCGCCTGGCAGATGTTGGGCTGTTCACCATGGTAATCCTGTGTGGTGACTGTTTTTTGTGGCCATGTCACCAAAGCCACTGTGTTTGTGGCGCCAAGGCACCGAAACAGGCAGGCACCGAGACAAAGCCATGCCGTGTCGACATGGTGACACTTTGGGCACCATTGGTCGCCTGCACCAAGCTGCTCAAGCTGGTTGGAGGCTTGTGAAAATTGTGAAATGGGTTCCCATGATCCATCCAGTGGCAGATGGGACGTGTTCAACTCCATCCAATGGCACCCTTTTCATCCTTGTCATTCCTTGTCTATCTTTTCTCTCAGAAAGAAGTTCAACAATTCAACATGAATCTCAGTCGTTTTACATGCAACCAGGGTGCAGCAGCATAGCCGAGATCAAATGCTGTCTCTCCTCACGCTCAGGGGTGTCAAACCAATCGCTCTGCAAGCTTTAATCATTGAACAAATTACATATAAATCATATAATATAAAGTTATAAAGGTACATAAATATACATAAATGTTGATGTGTCTTTACTTCGGCTGCAACATGCTGCTTGAACTCACTGAGATCATTGTTTGTGAAACATCTCTCCTGTGCCGATAATCAGCACCTTTCGACCTTTGAAAATCTCCGGATCCTGGCACCCGTGTTGCAGGGAGCAGCGTCAGTGTATGTCTTTACTGTCAGAAATGAACCCCCAGGGCCCCAGGGCCTTGTAGTTGGCACCTGGTCCATGGTTTGAACATGCTTCGAGACAACATGTTCAAAATGAAAGAGGAATACAGTTCAGACATGTTCAGACATCATATCCAGTTTTGCTGAGGAAGCAATGCTGAGACAGTGGCTGTGAAGAATCTGACCCTCGAACTTCTGCTGACCTCTTATGGCGGAGCAGACGTGTTTCATGCTGTTTCCCAACTAGCTTAAGTCAATTTAATTCGCTGATGAAAAAATGCAAGCTTGTGCACCTTCTCTGTTGGCTAGCTAGAAGTTCCTACCAAACGAACCAGTTTACCTCGGAGTTGCAATGACATGAGCTGTCTGCATTAAGAATTTATGGCTAATGAAGTACTTCTGATCTCCACCCAACTGCCCAACTGCGGGTTCCTTGCCTGGGAACTCAGGTATTCTTGGCACATTGTGCAGACCGGAGCAGATAGCTACTGCGTCCCACACCTGGCAGAGATCTTTGGCTGAAGGATATAAATAAGATTTATTAAGATTGGATCAGAAAAGACTTTTGTCCAACACAATAGCACACAATACCTATGCCATTTCATGCCCCACTCACCAGCCTCTACATATGGATGAGAGTCATCGCCATCAGCCTGCAGCGTCCTGTTGGGTCGCAAATCGTGGAGGAGCTGCGGGGCCGTGTTCTGTGGCATCTACAGTGCTGTGGTGACGTGATACTCGGGCGTGACTTTCATGATCTGTAAGGAGTAGGAACACGTTCCTGGGAGACAATTGATTTGTTCCGGAACTCCGGAGAGCCAAGAATTCTCAGGCCCGATGGCAGTTAGACAAATTTCTTGCAATCTTATTCAAATGTATCAAATGTATCAAATGCATTCAAATGCAGTCAAGTGACACATCATAGGAGTCCATGGTATTGCAGCCCTTCTGCACGTTGATGACCTGAGACATTCATCGCCATTTCATCCTCCAACCGCTGCATAGCTTTGCATTGCCCTCTGGTTTGCCAGCTGTTAGATCTGTTAGCATGTTTTCGCCCACCTTGACATTGAAGCGAATCAGCTCCAATAAGCCGAAGTGAGCCGAGTATTCCTGGAGGTAAAGCACGTAGTCTGTCATGGTCATGTGCCTTGCGCGGAGGGATCAACGATCAACCCTCTCCAGGTCAACAAAATGGAGGCCATGACTGCACCATTGGCACCAAGGTGCATCTCAGCTTCCGGGCGTCGAAAATCTGAAAAGCAGGTGAGGTATTTACCTGAGATCGGAGCAAAGCCGTTCACATCGGTTCTCGGCTCACTGGCGGAGTAGTTTCTACAACCAGAATGCTGGTTCACACAACAAAGCACGACTGGCCGAGGCGTGGCCTCTCGACCATCTAATTTCCGTAGCACCTGACACTTCTGGGGCATGATCAACCCAGGTCCGCCAACGCTATGTTTTTTTGCCGAGCAGCTCGATACCATTCTCGCATCCTGAAACTTCAAGTCTCTCTCGCTTACTTTAAAGACGGTAAAACTTGACCACAAACATCGCTTTCTCACTGACCTTCAACGGCATGCAGCCATCGCTCCTTGTAGGTCTTGTTCACAAAGGTGCCACCTATGGCAGAACCGGCCTCAACGATGCTCACCTGTCATGCCGCTGCTTCCCTTTTGTCTTTGTTGCTTTTGCAGATTCACCTAAAACATGTCAAAACCCTATGGATCATTTCATCTGAGCATATCTAAACATATCTAATCTCATGTCATCAGTTTCATCCAGCAGTTCTTGACCTGTCAACTAGGTGAACCCCATTAATCATGGATATATACGTGTATATATATATATATACCTGGTGAATCCCAAAAAAAACAAAGTATCAATACGGTATCATGCTCAGATCTGCTTAAATCACCATATATCATCCTTATATCATGGTTTATATCATCGTTCTTTCCCAATGTTATTTCCCAATGTTAACTGTTGAATCGTTGCCCATGCCATGTCCCAACTCGGTCACCTCATGCCCTGCTTCCCTGGCGGTCTTTGCCGTCACCAGCCCCGAGGCTCCAGCACCTGACACAGTCATGGTTTCCATCGATTCACCGGATGGAATGGGAGGTCATGTATCATATTTTCTCATTATATTATATATATATATATGTATATCAATTATATATATATATATATGTATCAATTATATATCAAGTAGATCTTAACTAGATTCGATTGTGTATGATTCATTCATTACACTTCCTGATGTCAAGATTTCCGGCAAAACCCATGACAATTGCATGAATCTTCTGGTTGCTTCTCAAATGGGATGCAGTTTCACCAAGGACAGGACCGATGACTAAAATGCGCATGGGCAGCGAGAGAAACGGCACGAATCGAGAAGGGCATTGGCCGCCCAGAGAGCGAACTAAGTCTTTCGAGCGCACTGTTATCTGTACATCCTTCGAACATCCGTCATGTCTGCTGGATGAGCTGGTGAAGCTGTTGGTGTTTGACTGTGCCCGTCTGCTCCATCTTTGTCCATGGTCCTCATGCTGTGATTTTGAAAGGTGAGAAGCATAGTGGCAAGTCCTACAAGGTGCATCGACCATTGGAAAGCCGCACTCTTCAAAGTCTCAGTGTACTTGAAACCAGTCGCATATAAAAACCAACTTCAAGAATATGATATCTTTCATGCATCACCAGAAATCCGCAGGAATCTCACGTTGCTGGCTCAAACTTCCAACAGTTTGGCACGGAAAGCGCCTCCCGTGTGGATAGCTCCTGGAAGCAAATGTTTGCCCAGGGAATAGAACTCATGGGTTATGATGGAGAGCAATCTACCCACCGAACCTCACAAACACTTAGAAACATCAGATTCTCAAAGATGTGGCATAGCACACAAGGTAATGCAGGAAGTTGGCAAATGAGAAGTCTGCAGGCATGAATCTCATCCAATTCCTTCACCCAGTGGCACACTATGTCACAAGGCTTCAGCATTCGGCCTTCGGGCCTTCGGGTTTTGCCTTCCAGATTTCATGGCTCAGCACATAACCCCCACATGTCTCCTTCAGCCGTGGATGGATGGGAATCCTTGCCGCCTGCAACATCTCGCAAAGACCTCTGCAAACCTCTGCTGGCACCTCAGTGGCCAAAAATTGATGAAATGGCCTTGCCATGGATGTGAGATGATATGGCACAATTGAGGCAGCCAATACAAAAGAGAACTACCTGGTAATGCACTGATTGTGGGAATCTGTCCAAGGATGTTGGAGCGGCCTGGTCTGTGACGAAGGCATGATAGCATCCACCCGGCTCCTGCAGCCAAGTTCAAAACGTTGGAGCTCAAAACGAACTGGACTCTGGACATCAGTGGACCACATTTTTTCCAGCCCACTATTTTAGATGACAACAATCTGACATTATAGGTCCCAGGTAGGTACAGTAATAGTGTATGAGCTTAGCATGTTCGCGGGGTACACGCAACACCAGCAGTCCTCGCCAGACTTGTTGAGTCGCTCCTCATGGGTGCCATGAATCAATCTGGCAAAAGCATTAATGATGTTTTATGTTTGTGTGCCTATCTTCCATCAAGGTATTCCACTATCTTAAGACTTACGAAATCTTAAGAGCAAAGAGCTGCTCCAACCTGTTCTACTAAGCAAACTGTCTTCCTGCCTTTAACAGCTGGCTTTCTCAGGCCACGACCAGCCGTTTCCGATGACATTGGAGATCTGGAAGATCATAGCTCACCTCATCTCCAGATCTGGGTGATTCCAGGTACCTCATCATGGATCAAAAGTCTCATAGCCTTGAGAAACTCAGGTCGGTGCTGCTCGGGCCACCTAAAAGCAGCTGAGACTCAAGCAGGAATCAAGGCAGACTTGGTATGACTTGGTCAGTTTGACTGACTTGATTTAGACATTTGGACATTCGGCAGGTCAGCTGTGAGCAGTGGCCTCTGGAATAGAACTTGCACCATATGCCGAAAGGGCTTCATCCGTGCAAAGCAGTACTCGCTTTCCATCAAGATGAAACCCCTTGAGGCGCTCCTGCCAAGTCGTTTCTTCTCTGCTTTAGATCAGATCTCTGGTACCAGATTTATAAGTGTGGACAGCTCGGGAAGGTGCCGAAATGGCTATGTCTTCTCACTGCCTTTTCTCCCATTTTGCGAACTTCGTTCTTTTGGAAACGTGAGGCAATCCCACAACTCGCAGCAAGGCATCTGAACATGGTACACCCAAACAATGAGTAGATGAAAGGGAGCTGCATTAAATCCAAGTCCTTCTGAGACTTTCACTTCTACCGCACAGTGCCATACACCATCAGTCTCCTGTTGGTTGGAAGCTGTGAGCTTGAGACAAGCCTCAAGGCTGTGACCGGTGCGAACAAAAGAATACTCACTATTACTCACTATAATGTGAACGAACAAGCCTGGAAAAATGAGTTGCTCAAGCAGAGCAAAGTGGTGAATCCCATTTCTTCCTTTGGAAGGCCCCTAGCCCCCCTCCCGACTGATGTGCTCTGAGCGGCCACCTGTCGCTGCCCAAGGGCAAGAGAAACCGGAGCAATGGAAGCTTCCAAGCAGAAAACCAACCTCTGCCAGCCGAGGAAAAGCCCAAACACAGCTCTCGAACAAACACATTGTCCATCTGGGACCGATCATTTCGAAGACATGTTGTGGATCAGCGTAGACAATTAACCCCAAAAACAGCTCTCGAAATCATTTCTATTGGATTACAGCAACAACAAAGCCGTGTGATACCATTTCACAAAACGCGTCTGCGGCCGCGTCACGTCAAGGATCGCTGGACCAAGCCCTTCCGCTCTGCTTCCTGTACATCCCTAGGCACAGCAGGCACAATATGGCACGATGCAAAGTTCTGCGGGCAGAAATTGAAAAGCAAAAGCTGGTGATGAAAACATGGAGGCCTCAGGATGCGCAGCAGCCTAAACAAAAAGCCGATGCACCGCACGGGAAATTCGGCTCTCACGACTCTCAAGAAATACAAAAAGTCCAAGTGGTGGCGGTGGGCTTGCCAACTGAACCAGTAGCATTTGCCTGTTCAAACTGATTGACCAAATACATCCAAATACCATAACCTACTACCCACAGACAATCCTAGCTACTGTCAATCCCCTCTTGAGGCCTTGAGGGTTTTTCCTCCGCCTCCAAGACCTGATGAAAATGGGAAGAAACAACCACCACAAATGGGATCAAAAGGTCCAATGATACAGGAAAAAACAACCAAACAAAACCCATCAAAACCCTGGGAAATGTGATGTTTTAGCCAGCATGTTTTGGCTATTCTGAAACCATTGAAGCTTCGGGGGCAATCCTTTTGAGTCATTCCCACATGATGGGATCCCAGTGAGGTAGCACTCATATCACAAGGAGACCTCCCACATCCTACCTCTCTACCACCCTTCAAATATTCCGTGCACTTTAACAATCCACTTCCCCTCCCGGAGCCTCCACGTGTTGCGTGACAGCTGGACAAAAAGTTGCTTCCTGAAGAACTTCACACTTCGCAGCTTTCCCTGCATGGGATCATTCCCAAAAAACGAATGCAGTGGGTCGCAATGATCGCAATGTTTGTGGATGTGATGATAATATCTTAACATTAGCCCTGTCCTGACTGAGGACCGCCAGATTCTCAGGGCGCAGAGCCTCCAAGCAACTGACAGTTTCAGTCACAAGAACTCCATTGAGAAAGCCTCGGACGGCACCTTTTCAGCCCCTCCTTCCAGGCGAACACGCCAACGCCCTTGCAACGGTGCGAGGCCTCAGTTGGGTGGGGGCCTTGGTTGAGTCCCATCCTTTCTATCCTTTCTTCATCCAGTTCCCTCAGTTCCCTCAATCAAAAGTAGATTACTTAGATGATTACTCGCTTTACCCAAAAAAAGGGGAAAAACGGAATAGCTATTGGAAAAATGTTTGTCGACCCCGACAACCCATTAATCTGCTCAGAGGAAACTTGTGGAAAGCCACGCAGTGCGCCCAGGCTGATGTGCAGCTGAGAAGCACACGGCCTCTCATTTGGCTGGGGGAGAATCTTCAAACCCTTCAGTTTACACTATAAAAGTTGTGCTCAATTAAAGGTTGAAGCAGGTCGAAATTCGCCACTGGAGATTTAACACCCGCTTCCCGTGTGTTGCATGGTTACCAGAAATTGGACAAGCCCAAACATGATAAACATTGCCATATTATCCCAGATCCAATTGTTTTGTAATGTTTTGTATGTTTTGTTGGATCCTCTATTCATTGAAGCTTGCCATCAGCACCTCAGCTCCATTGAGCTCGGATGTTTGAAGTCCACAGAGTTGAACCTGCCTCAGGTGTCTATATCTTTGTTGGCATTTTCAGGACGGATTTGTATCCTCGTTGCTACAGTGAACATGATTAAAACTTAAAACTTATTAAAACCAGCTATCAGCATCTATCAGCTATCATACATCTCCACTAGCATCACTACCGTTTTGATGCTTCTCCAAGTGGAACAAATCCTTGGGATTCCTTGGGTGCTGCGGATCAAGTCCAGTTGCTGCCAAGCTGCAAACCCGGTTTCAGTAGCACCTATCAATTTCAGCTCACCCGGCGAAAAACCACTTGAACAAATGTAAGCACTGCTGTAAGCACGTTGCGAAGATGTCCATATATGCCATGACGAACAGTCAATCTGTGAATCAAGCAACTGCCCTGGGGTGTGCCAGTGTCACGATTGAAGTAAGTTCTATTAAGTTCCAACATCTCTCTCAAGTTTACCTGTTCGGGAAGGCCCTGGGCAGTTCCCCGACTCAAAAGATCTCAACATGTGAGGTCCAGTGCCATGGGATGTTCTTCAGATCACAGTCATGCTATCACCAGTCATGCGCTATGCTCTGATTTTCATTTCGAGGTATCACACTCAAATACTGCGCCACGCATGGGCCTCCAGGTTCTCCGCTTTCATCAATACGTCCCCATGTCCTTCAACTGCTACCTCTCATCAAACATTTCATGGTGATTTTTGCCAAGTTGTTGAGGTCAGAGCGCTTTTCATGCCGAGTTTGCGACTAGTTCAACCAAGCGTGGGAACGCGTATGATTAAAAAGGGGTTGGTTCGAATTGTGACATAACTCAAAAAACGGCCATCATCAGAGCAGTATTGAGTTGATTGCGGGATTTGATCATCATACAAACCAATTTCTGCTGTTCTCTTCAATTTGTGAAACTGGTGGAACCCGGCTCTAGTCTGTTCAGAGGCAGCCAGATCAAATATGTATATTATATGTGTCGAGTTTTGATAGAAACAAATAAGTACACATATCCCTACAGTCAAGAAACATGGTCTTCGTTGGCAGCACACCACCGAATGGGTCCACGGCACTGGGAATCATAAATTCGGAGCCAAGTTGCAAGCCAGCGGCTTTTCTCAGCCTTCCACTCCCTGCGCCAAGAGGACTCAGATTTGGTGTTTTGGGCTAGCACAGCACCACAGAAGCTGCCAGCCTGCAAAGGCCGTTCTTGCCATTCAGTTCCTGCTGAGCAATCGATAGCAATCGAACAAACCCATGCGAGGAGAACATGATCAAACATGCTTCGCAATTGTTGCCACTATGGCTATGGAATCTATGGACATGGAGAAGCGGCATCCATCCAGACCTTGAAGTTTAAATGAGCGGTGTTCGAAGCCTCTGCTTAAAAACAAATGGAAATTATGTGTGCTTCTGTAATGCGCGAAAGCTTGCGCAAACCTTGCTCGGCCTGAGGGGGTGCCTGCGCACACATTTTTCTAACATGCGTTTGCACGAGCTTGCGACGATCGAGGGCGTAAACTGTGGATTCTAATTCTTTGATGATTTTCCGTTGCATCGCACGAGGAGACATGTCGGAATGTGCACTGACATGGGTTCTGTGTCCTTCCGTGCTTGAGCTAACACTAGTGCCAACATGAAGTCTAAAATCAAAATGCATTTCATTGTTTCTGAGCTGTTTCCGATGAATTTTTGACGCGAATGGCGCATGTCACTTTAGCGGGAAAACAAAGCAGCAGGCAACATTGTAGCCGAGCACGGCGGTACAGAAGTTTCAAAGTCGAAAAATGGCGCTCTGAAGTTGCTACTTATGTCACCTCATCATGCTGTGTGATTGCACCATTGGTTCATCCTAATTTATTGCTGTATCTATTTAATTTTGAGCCTGCGCGAAGCGTGCGCGAATATGAGTTTTTCCGAAGCTTGTGAAAAGCTCGCGCATGTGGGGACCCGCTCAATATGTCTAAAAAGATTGCCACCAAAGACTAAAGTGATCTACCATGAGTTTCTATGGGCGCAAGTGCAATGCTGCAATGCACGCTGCTTCCAACCTCAACCAGCACCAGCCCGTGTAATTTGCCAAGGTCTCAGAAGGTTTCAGCTCCTGCATTCGAAGACCAATCAGTCGCACAGGAGTGTGGGGACGCAGCAAGGCCTGCAGTAGCCGATGCACGGCAAAGTTTAGCTCAACTTCGACAGCTTGGCAGCTTCAGTGCCATGAATGACGATACAGACTTTGACTAGCCTTCGCTGCAATCATTGAAGGCAGGAGGGAACCCATTGTCAAATTTTGTCTAATTCCATGACATCTCACCTTGACTTCCAAATTCTCCTTCTTGAGGAGCTTGTCATTGCCCTCAATACGCACAGACCAACGTTCAGCCGCAACCTGAATTTCGTGGATGCCGCTTTTCGGCCGAAAACAGAAAAATGGCGAGGAAAGACAAATTCACGCAAAGATTTCTCAAGGGAAAGGTTATCAGTCACAGAGTCACAGGTTGTTCAAACAAAGTAGTGCCTCATTTGCACAATGAAAACATTTGACAACGCGAATTCCACATGATCCTGTGGGAGTTGGAGCCAGGTAGCATTCCAGGACTGTAAGGTGCACGTCTCGCCATTCCTTGGGCACGGTCGGCACTGTAATTTTCACAAAGTTTCCCACGGGTTCTCTGAATATGGACTTCATTGACTTGATTGACTTGATTGACTTGATTGACTTGATTCATGTGTAAAAGGGGCGCCTCCTTCCTAGACTCAAAACACACAGGTGATGTTTTCCAGCGCAACTGAGCGGCAGCGTGGTCATGTTTTTGAGGCCAGCAATTCGCACCAGCATACCAGGAGACAACTGGTTCGTGCACAGCTGGACGTCAGTTGGAAGAATGGCCCATCCAAGCAGTCATGAAGGTAGCTGTGATTCCGAACTATAGTGAAGGTCAGTGAAATATACAAGAGTAGCGTTGATGTGAAAAATCAACGTCAAACCATCTCTGCTCATCTTCATTCTAGGGCTTTCATCAGCTTTCTTGTTCAACTTAATTGCACAACTCACACAGGCTTTGAATCTAGATGTCAGCTCCTGGTAATGAGAAACATCTCTCTTCATCTATTCCTTCAAATCCACCTCGATGGCTGATGCTTTCGGCAAAGGGCCTTTCTCCTCACCTTTGGTTGAACAGCGCATCGCAGGCATCGAGATCAACTTGGAATGACTTGTACTTCCACTGAGACCAGGGCCATCGTTTCCTTCCTGAGCCCGGTCCTCACATCTTGGTGTGCCAATGGCACACCGAGGATGGCAGATTGATCAAGA